TAGTCAGGGCTAATATGTCTGGCTTCGCAGACTGAAGGTGTCGATGGACATCGTTGATGTTCTTGCTTAGACCACAGATGTTACATAGGTCTATATCTTGAGGACATATTCAGCCGATGGTGAACCCCCTCTAGCACATCTCGCCAGGAAATCCGAATGGAGAGGTATTTTACTTCCGGATAGTTTTACTTGTAGAGAACTCATCATCGCTTCTTCTGTATCGAAAGGGAGGTTGGCGTGGAAGGGAAAGAAAATTGGATTGGGTTGGGCTGACCGGAATCATCAACAAGCTACTGAAACACGGCGTTTGCTCCCTCATTCAAGGACCCAAAGCTGTCAATTCACTCCTACGGGAGGAAGAAACATTACCTCCCGTGTAAGGTCAAATAATTTGGCTTCGCATGCTTGGCAGAGATATACCTACCTATGAGATTCGTGCTATCCAAGTAAACAATGTCTTCATCACTATTATACAAATAACAATATTCTTTTTGAATTTCAATTATGGTCTCATATACTTCTTATATTCCAAACTTACTTAATCAATACTGTCAAATGTAATCACACATTAAACAAATGCATTATGACAGAAGTATCAAATTGATTTTCGTTCAAATACCGTCATTTGTCCATGGCACACTACCCTCATTGTTACGCATAATGATTTGAATCGGGAGATAGTCCGCCTGACGCATAATTTTAAGGATGATTCTTTCTGCTAATATATGCGTTCGTGGATAAAATCATATATATATCATGGGAGCAAAGTTCATTTCCTCACATGTTTGTTTGATCAAATCTCAAACGCGGGTGGAAATGGGTACCTTTGCTACCTTGATATATTAATAGCTATTATTGTCTATTCCAATACCTTTATTCTCAATTTGAATGCGTTTAATCCCAATATAGCACTGATTATATCTATCGATTTGCTATTCTAAGAATAATTACATAGAATTGTCATGTTCAAAAATACGAACGAGTATTGTGATGTAGAAGCATACCTACATATTTTTTTAGTAGAATCTGAAGTAGGACATTTGTTTCCAACATATATTCATAATGTTTTGTATCGATATAGCATATCTATCGAATCATGATAGGTATCTATTTTCAATATGACATTCGAAAACATTTTTTGACGTGAAATTATTGTTGGAAAAATAGAATATCATCCAGTATTGACAAGGTTTTATAATATGAACCCATTAAAACTAATTAATTCGTTACCTCAAATAATTGATATTAGTCACGATTTTTTTCATTACCATGCAACAAATTATTTTTATCAAACTTTTGGTTCAAACATGAATCATGTCGATGTATAATACTTTTACCCAGCAAGTTTTCATAATGTGTAATTCGAGAATTGAACTCTTTTCGAGAAATCAGATCAACATTAGATAATCTCTATATCGTTTCACTGCAACAAGTAAACGATTTTTCTTCCCAATATTGACTTAAAAAATGATCAAGTAAATATTTTAGGAATGATTCAGAGATAAATGTGGCAAAAACTATCAATAATTAAATTTAATTGAACCCTGTTTTCCAATGATTTTTTTCGGGATCTGTGATATTTTGTGATAACAACAAAATATATATACAGGGTGATATCTCCTATTTTCACTTCTTTATCCCTGCTCTTTTGAGCCTAGAAAAACAAATTTTGTCTGATTAATTGGTTATCACTCGATCAGTTTGAGAATGTATTCGATAATGATGCAATATAAAACTATCAAATATATTCTCAGTCATGGCTAACATGATATCTGTAGTCGCCAACACACAAACATAGTCTTTCTGGTGTCAAAAAAGTGGTGATAATGAAGTAAAAATAGATATCATGCTGTATATATGTATAGAGGATGTCCCGTGACTCGATCGCAAGTGCCTCATTCGCAGTTTTCAAGCTCATGAACTTTCTACCGGAAACCATATAAAATCTGGAGTTCCATAAGGATCTATTGTGGGGCCATTTTTGTTCTCTGTTTTTTTTGCAGATATTGTTAATCACATAAATCATTCCAACTCTCTCTGTATGCAGATGATCTAACCATATACATGTCCTTTGACTACCATACACATGTGGCGACAATGAAAAACATCAACAGTGATTTTGTTAGTATCAGTGATTGGGCAACCAGTAACTCATTAGTCACGTTCGGTATTTACATCGGAGATTAGAGCAGATTCTAGTAACATGGTCACAGATAGATCGGAGCAATCGGCAATAAACGAACGAAGTGGACATTTTGTTGACAGTGCGACGGTAACCTAACCTAACTCCATTCATTTATATAATTTATTTCCATTTCAATATGAGTATACCAGAAACTATAAAAATATAAAAAATATTAAAAAAATAAATTTGAATTTATCATCTAAATACATTAATTAAATGTGTTCACTTACTATTATTTGTGACAATTTCTTCATAATTCTCATCTGACACCATAAAGGTGTGTTTTGTGTTGCTCAGAATCAAAAAGTTGTATTTCTTTCATTATGAAAACGTTATTTCGAAAATACGAATACCAGCACAACGGCCAGTCATACATAAACATTTGAACATTAACCTCACAAATTCAGATCAATCGCTTTGCTCGGTCAAAATTCTCCGAGCATTCAGATCTTTGTCAGATCGCTCCGATTTTATTTGCCGAACGGATGAGATCTACTTCCCCTACATCTAGATGTCATAAACGAACGATTCAGATTCATCGGAGCAGTCTGATGTAAATACCGAACGCGACTATTGTTTATAAACGTTGATTAAACACAGGGTATTTTTTTAAAATGTATGATGAATTAATATTCTTCATACAGGATGTGGCGAGAAATTCTGAATTGAGAAAACCTAATCACGAATCTGCGATTGAAGGTCTATAAAAATAACAAGTTTGAACCCCTTGATTGGGTGAAAGTATTGAAATGGATTATTTTCAGATATAATTATGAACATAATAGAATACTACGTAATATGTGTTGTAAGAAGCATATTACGCACGAATGGAAAAGTTAATTCCATGAGTGCGTAATTGCTTTACAACACGCATTACGTACTATACTGCCATATAGTATGTACATCGAAAAACTTTGGACAAACAGTCTGAATTATAATTCTTGACAGTTATGTCATCCGCTGTTGACGGCGATTACGCGATCATGACAGGCGGAATAAACGAAAACTGTGCGATGTGCTTATTGTGCGTAGAGCTACTTACTGAGACTGTATCACGTATGTTCTTGCCTACTTTCTACAGTGGCCGTAGGTAAAAAATGGATGTGTATATATATATATATATAAAGAAATACATTGGGCCTTCTCTTCCAGGGCTCCAATACCAGCCAGGCAAATCAGAAACGAACGAGGGAGAAATGTTGACAACATAAATATGGACTTGGCAACAATTCTCGAATGGGGATCCAATAACTTGGTAGATTTCAATGCAAACAAAACACAAGCATGCTTCTTCTCTAGAAAAGCCGATCTCACTGTGCCCAACATAAGCTTGTCATGAGTAACCATACATTTGAAGACATCCATTTCGATGCTTGGTATTACTATCAGCAATAACCTTTCTTGGGAAAATCACGTAAGATCAATTGCTTAAAGTGCATCCGAAAAACTTGGTTTTCTGTTTCGGGCCAGGAGCTATTTCACTTCCAGTCAGCTGCTTATGATCTATAAGGCACAGATCCGACCTGTCCTGGAATACTGTTCCCATATTTGGAGTGCAGCACCTAAACACACCCTGAAACTGTTGGATTGTGTCAAAAAAAGGGCAATTCGTCTCGTGGGTGATGCCTCGCTCACAAACTCCTCACTTCTCTGGAACATCGTAGAAAAGTTGGCGATCTGGCTATATTTTATAGATATCTGCATGGACGATGCTCTTCTGAAATATCAGCAATAATTGTTCCTCCCTTGGCAGTCCCCGCGAGATGAGGCTTCGCACCCCTTCGTGGTCACTTTGAAGACCTGCAGAACATCTATTTCCAAAGACTCGTTCGTTCAACGAACAGCGAGGCTCTGGAACACATTGCCAAGGGAGGTGTTCCCCGAGGCATATAACCTCCAGAAATTCAAGAAGAACACCAATTCCTACCTTATTTCCCTTGGTTCTCACGATGTTCTCTGAACATCACAGGATATCCCTCTTCGTGGGAACCAGAACATAAAAAAAATCTATGTGATGAAAATATCAATTCTCTCTCGGTTTATTCAACAGAAAACAACTATTTTCCTGGCTATATGCATATACATATATTTATATGAAGTAGAATGCCATTTCTCTACTTCAGAAGATTTTGTTATCAAATTTTTATCGTATGTGTTCAATAGATATAATAATTCAATGTTCGTCGTGGCATATAGCCAGGAATGTAGTTGTTTTCTGTTGAATAAACCGAGAAAGAATTGATATTTTCATCACATAGAGAATGCGAATTCTCAATGTATTTCTGTATAAATATATATATCCATTTTTTTATGTTCATAATTATATCTGAGAATATTCCTCTTTAATACAGGCTATTATGTTTCATGAAGTGACGATTACAATGGAATAACTCCACATTGAATCAACCGGCATCAAAAGTATCATGGACAGAAGAAGTAAAATCTTTAGGTTTATTTCTGGATTCAAAACTCTCTTTCAATTGTCATATAAACAAACTTTGTCAAAAATCATACCATGCATTGAAAAAAACATTTAAATATCGAAATGTTTTACCAATGCAAACCCCTTGTAAAACTGTTGGTAAGGGCTATGGAGGCTTCATTGCGGGATTCAACTTCCGCATATTGTTTTTTTTTCTCGATAAAAAAATAAAATAAATACATAGGTGCGCCTCTTTGATGGATAACTCTGTACAATAAATTACCCATTAATTATTCCATATGTATTATGCTATTGTATAATAATTATGATTGCTGAAGGTAAATTGGGAAAAATTGTTCAGGCAGTAAAATATTATATCTAATTTCAGAATATTTGTCTACAAGTGGACAATAATTATTATTAATTGCTATTAGTCATGACATGCCACGAATTATTTCTATACACAGTTTCGGGTCGTTCAGAAGCATGTTGAAATATATTACTCTCGCCACGCAATTATTTTTCATAATGTGTGATTCGAAACTTGAACCCCTGCCAAGAAATCAAATGAAAATCAGAAAATCTCTATCGCAGTGTATAACTGAAACAAGTAAACGATTTTTCAACAAAGAATTCGAAACAGTAACTTTTTCCATACCCCTAGCTGAACCAAAACGGTTGTCTCCAATTGCTCTAGACGTCTTTACTTTGCCAGAATTGAGCAAACTTGAAAATGCAGACATCATGATAATAAGATTGGGTTCACTCAAGAAGACATGGGAGAAAATCAAAACGATCATAATACATTTCCGGAATAAGGAAGATATGCTTGATCATCTGACAAAGCTCAAAGAAAACAAATTGCTGAATTCTTACGCGAAATATCTACTGGTGTCTACAGTTGTATTCGGAGAGCCATTTCATGTAGCAGAGATAGTTTCGAAATATATGTGGACCGAAAACGTTATCAACTTCGTGGTCATGATTGCCAATCCGATAAACACCACGCAGTTCATCGTGTACACTTGGAATCCATACAGCAATAACTGCGGTACTGATTTTTCCCGTAGCACTCATTCCACCGATTATTGTTCTTATGGAAAAATACAAAGTGATAGAGATTGGTTTGGTGACAAGATTCCCAAAAAATTATCAAATTGTACTGTAAAAGCTAAATATTGGGATTTTCCTCCGTACGTCACAACAATAAGGAACAAATTAAGTGGTATCGAAATAAATATTCTGGAAATAATCGGAAATCAATTGAATTTGAAATTGTCGTTCAATCCAGCAATCAAGATTAATAAAAACACCGTGTCAGAAAGGCACAATGCGGGAGAAAACCTATCATTTTTGAAAAGCAATGATACAGATATATTTTTTGGAGGTGTCCCTAGAACTACCAAGATTTCTCGTTTTTTTCCAACCAGCCGGTCACACATGCAAGACACTTTGATATGGTGCGTTCCTAACGAACCATTAAAGAACGACTTGGAGAATTTCATAACAGTAATCAGCTACAAAGCCTTATTTGTGACATTGCTGTTTCATATTGTTACGAGTTTCTTCATTTGGTTCTTGAGTAAAAAGACAAACAAAGAAACTTCCTCATATAAAAACTTCTTCGAGGTATATTTCAATACATTCGGGCTACTAGCTGGGTCCAGTGTCCCTAAGCAACCGCAAACAGTCAAAGTTAGATATTTCTTAATTCTTCTCTTATTTTTCAGCTTCATATTAGATAGTTATTATAACAGCTTATTAACAAGGAATATAACCAGACCGCAATTCAAAGAGAAGTACACCTCAATGAAAGATATATATGACAACAATTTAAAAACGTACTTCATACCTGAACAAAAAACATATTTCAAAGCCGATATATTTGCCGTACCTTTGAATGAAATAATGCAAAAGTGGAGAGACTGTTTTGATATCAGAGTTTGTTTGAAGTATGTTTCTGAGGATATGGACTCGTCGATATGCCTTACTAAACTATTCAAAAGCCTCATCTTGAGTAACCATACATTGGATAGTATATATTGCATGGAAGCTGATGGAATTAGCTATCCAGTGACAATGGTTATGAGAGAGGGATTTCCGTTTTATCAAAGATTCGATGATATTATAAAAAGGATGATTGCTGGTGGATTCATTGTGAAATGGGAGAATGACTTCGTTAAAGAAATACACAAACCTTTGCATCATACGACCACTGGTCGAATACATTTTAAAAACTTACTACCGGTCTTTCAAATCTACTTTATAGCGTCAGCTGCAGCTACGTTAATATTCGTGGTGGAGAAGTTATGCTACAACCCACATTAGGGTCGAGTAGATAAAAGAAAGAAACATCGATATTACGAACACTAGATTAATCCTTATGAAATAACGCATTATTTGGATGTTGAATCAGTTTTCATAATTTACATTTTTTGTTAGCACTAATTCAACTAGTGTTCAGGGTGATTTGTCAATACACATATGTACAAACAAAAATGTACTAATCAATAAAATTTAAGAATTCAGAGTATATTTTCATTATACTGGTGAGTTGAAACAATAGCATAATTTGTAGCAGAACCACTTCATTGGATAATGATAAAAATTAATAGTATATTATGTCCTTTTAGTAACGAGTAGTTTAAGCACAAGCGGAGCAGAGCGGAGCGAGTGTTTAATAAACGAGTGTCTAGAACAGTTTATAAACGCGTTACATACTATGATTTTTCTATTACATTAACATACCTGCAATTCCTGCTAACCAACCAAATAATTCGAAAGGAATGGGAATTGAGAACATAATACATGCAACTGCATGCAACCAGCGAGACACGTATAAGTGATATTGGTTGTAGATGTGTCCAGTCCATTGCTTACTTACCTTTGTTTCACGTTTAGTGTCATGCTTAGCGCAGAATAAATAAATTGTTCTCAAAGATGGATGCTTCATTTTCACACTTCTTGGAGATATGCAAGTACCAGAACATTCTCTTCGATTTCACTTTCGTCTACTTTCCGCATATATTTTCAATGAAGAATTCTGATGCAAACGAATATAGTTTGAATAATTCTGATACAAAATTCGAAAATAACAGTTGACAGTTAATACAATTGACAGGCCAGACATGTCTCAAATGTTCAAAAACATACATATTTACTCAAAACTATAAAATAAAATGCTAATTGAATAAACATAACATAATAAATAAATAATGGTTTTCCACTTCATTCACTCCACAAGTGAGCTGGGGCAGAAAGAACGACTGGGGCAGCGTGCAAATACTGGGCTGCACGTACTGGAGCAAGCATGTGCAAGTTGGGCAGTATATACCTTCTGTCTCAAATTACTGAAGCTGTGTTTAATGAACTGCGTTGCCATGGTAATGAGTTTAAGAAATCGTGTTGCCATGGTAACGTGTTTAATATTTTTAATAAATCACAGATGGACAATTCGTGATTAATCGATCATTTAGCGTGGTATATATCCGTACGATAAATGCCATTTTAGTTATGTGAGTGGAAAAAGGTAATTGCCACAAAAACAATAAGGTGCTTTACTTATAAAATAGACTTATACAGGGTTTCCCAAAAGAACCAGAGCGGCCGAATATTTCAGCAACGACGTCGCCAGCTTTACAGTTTTTCCCATGGAGCCCTCAACTTCATTATTCCAAATATAATAGGTACTACATTTTTACCGTAATTGATTTATCGTCTTCAAATTACTATGACCTTATAAAGTCAAATCCTAATTCCCTTCATTTTTGAAAATATATCAGATCAACATTTCGATATTGAATAACACGAAATTTCAATATTTTGAGAAATCGTGGAGATATGAAAATAACATTAAATTCATTAGGAATTATTCAACAAGTCTAATCTAAAAGTGCCATATTATACAATGTAGCCAATTTACATGTTGTTTCCACTAAAGCTTCCTTTTTTTATTTTTGCGCATTTTATTTGATGCAGGCTGCAGATTTTTCAAATAAAATAAAAAAAAGGGAAGTCATAACTTCTATGGCCGGTCTATATTTCAAATATCTTTTGGACAATACGGAGGAAATCTGAATGAAGTAATATTAAATCGTAGAAATCGTCCATACTCAAAGTGATCCAATGTGTTTTCAATGAAAATAAATACTCAAAGTCAGTCGACCACACTTTATGTGAAACTTAGTCAATTAAAAAGTAACCGGTTTCGGCACAACGGCCATCATCAGACTGCACTATCTCATCTACCATCATCTGGATTTGAATGAAAAATATGGATTTCATCGAGGATTTTACGTTAACGGGTTAGGCTTTTCAAATTTCTGGACCGATTTCAATATCTGTTCCTTAATTAAAAGAATTTTTAATATTCATACTTTATATATTATAATTGTAAACTGGGCTGAAAGACTTCGGTCAATGGCCTTTTGGGGTATATCCCTAATAAAGATGTTTTCTCTCTCCTAAAAGAATTTATTTTTCATGATGATTATTAAACAAATGTCGAATGTCACTAATGTCAGTGATATGATGATTTTTATTTTCAGTAGTAATGATGAATGATGAATTCGCGAACCAAGTGTTCTCCATTCCAAAGAAATCATTGATTGTCCTCGTTAATACACTAGTTGTTGTTTTCAAACTAGTCAGCAATCTACTTCTGCTGATACAATATGGAATTTTGTAATATGAGGCAAATACTAAAAATAAGATTCCTGCTCAATCAAGAGAACATAAAACATAACAACAGGATTGAACAGGTATTACTTGCCACCACTTCATTTCATTTGAAGATAATTTCTCCATATTATATTTCAATATTAATTAGTTTATTAAAGGAACAAAGAATAGAAGAAAATCGTGTAATAGTCGCAAATATTGTAGAGTGGTAGGGAAAAGTGCCATGAACAATATACTAAAAGTCCTGACCCGTAGGGTATGGGCGGGACGGTAGGGAACATGTGAAGGTCAAGTTGTTCTTGAATAATTCGAAAATCACGACCTCTAGCGAAAAAATATAGCAATACAAATTTGAACACCATGAAATTCCCTATAAAAAAGTTTCTATTCATTTTTCGTCTACAATGAATAGTTTCTGAGATACAGAGGGGATGAAAGAATCAAGAAGTACCAAAAATAGAGCTTAATGGTTTGAAATTCCTGTTCAATGTCTCGGAAGGAAACAAAAACAAAACTTTACTCATTAAAAACAGATATATATCAAAGACTGGAACCTTCGACACGATAATACACTATGCACTGTTTTACCACCAACCAAGCCGATTTTTTAAGACTCGACACGTGTTTCGCTAACTATGTTAGCATCCCCAACCGTGAAAGACACTAACCGCCAAGTTGTTGTTAGTCATGGTTGAGTTCACATGTTAACCTTGGTCTTAAATCACAAAACTATACAGAGGGCTAAATGGGATAGGTCCATTAACACGATTGCGGACACTCATATTTCAGGGTATGTGCATCGTTGTGCACAAGCGGCATATGCCGCAACTGCTATTCAGGTACTGACGGTAGTTGCCGTCAAATGCTTCTTGAACTGTAAATACGTTTATCGCGATATCACGTCAATTTTGAATAGGTAAGTATATGAAGTGTCCCTCTGGACACCTTGTATTGAAAAATATTAGCGGAATATGATTGACGTGAGAAAAAAAAATGGCTAGACGATCTACAGACGTTTGACGCGTTGGTATGCGGTATAATTCAGATTTTATATATTGTCAGAGGGTGTGTACAGAATGCTTGGCTGAATGCATATATGAAATGGACGGAAAACAAGAAAACGAACTTCTTAGGTGGTATGAAGTGGAGAACATTGATAAACAGTATTGTGCCTTTTTGGATATTTTAACCAAAGTTGCTTCACTATAGTTTCAGATCCTCTTTATAATGTTTGTTTTTTTATCAAAATGAAAGGTTTTTCATTCCATTTCCATACGCGGTATATGACGTCACTGTAATTTTGTTATTTGCTGCAGTTCTTTTTTTCAGTTTTTCTAATTATTTGGAGAATTGTCATTCTAAAGCTACTTGTTGCGTTTCTCTACATGCAAAAGTGTTCATTCAATCACTGTGATGATTTGAGCACACCCTACCTTATTTGGGTGCCCTGATGAAGTCAAAGTCGATGACGTGATATGACGTCAATGACCGCGAACATGTTTACCCTATTCATTACTCTATCACTATTCTTGATACCTCCATTGATAGAAATACAATTCAAAATTCAATACTTCAACAGCAGGGAAGAAATTAATGACAACTGTCAGAAAATTATTATATGATTAGGACATCTCATAAAAAAATCTTCTTTTTCATCGCCTTTGTCTGGAATATCGCGTCTCTGAGTGCAGATTGAATAAATATTGATGAAGATAATGGCAACCTGATATTGTCTATTATGACAGAAACAAATGAGTTCTTTTCATTATCAGTTAGCCAGCGCCACTGGAAAGGCAGACAAATTTTGATTGACTGAACTGATTACTAGGTAGAGGTAGAGAACCCTGTGACGTTGAAGGTTGTTGCTCTGAATGAGCTTCTCAGATTTTTTTTTATTGACTCAACGTTGATATACTAATTTGCAAGATGGATGAACAACACTGTGTTTTTTTGTTCTTGGAACCTTCATTTTTTCCATTCACCCCTAAGTACAGGGTTATCCATGGAAAAGGCCTCCTATATTAAAGTAATATTTTTATCCAGGAAACAATATGTGGGAGTTGAATGCTGCAATGAGGCTTTTCAATAGCCCTCACCAAAAATTTCACAGGGTGATCCATATAAGAGTTACAAACCACAAATAATTTATTTATATGGAACACTGTTCATTTTGATTTTTTGTCGGAATCTGTGTTTTTTGTGATCACAAATATATATACACAGGGTTATATCTTCTATTCTCACATTTTTATCACCACCCTTTTGAGCCTTGAAAAACAAATTTTGCCGGTTCATGGGTTAGATTCTCATTACTGCAGTAATGTTTCTGATGGCCTACATGGTAAAAAATCCTATTGGGTGAAGCTTTTCATCAAAAAAGAAATGCACAATTAGTTAGTTATTATTTTTGATACTTCTTGATTTTTTCATCCCCTGTATGATATTTCATGTTGTTCAATTTTGTAGAACAACTTGGAAAAATGCTCTCCTTCTGCCCAGCTCAACCCCTACAGGTTAGGACTTTTAGTATATTGTTCATACAACATGATTTTTTCCCTCTATTTAACCTTTTTTAGCATTCCTTGATTGACCTATAATAAATGTCACAGCTGATGCTGCCTTTCAGCAAACTTTCTTAAATAACTTAAGAAGGTGGTGTACTGTTCATAAAAAATGTTAAATTTAAAATACATCAAAATATTGCAAAAGAGAATCCAGAGTAGTAGATATCAAATCAGTTATTTGCTACAGTTGCTTCACTGAAAACCATATGACTCAACTTTTAGTAGGTAATGAATGCCATATTCATGGAAATTTGAAAACAATTATTTCAAGATCACCAGAGTCATATTCACCATTTGAAAATTAGAAATGGCAATGTTTTTCTTCTGAGAAAAGATGATGATGAGGATAAATTATCAGTAGTCTAATGATGTATTCACCTGATTCCTTACTATTTCTGTTAGATGAGTATAACATCCTTGGGGTTCTTATGAGAAAGCAATGATTTATACAAGTTTTTCAGACCAAAAAAATTTCTCAGAACATTCATTTACTCAAGATTCATTGACAATGGAATTATGGCTGTACAGGTTGTTTACCAATGAATTAAGCAATACAACATGTCATCACATTTCATTTCCAATACTTAACCACTGATGATGAGGGACCAAATTGGTGAATTCAGTAGTCAGTGTGCTTGCAGGACAGAATTATTGCCTCTTCCTATATTGATCTGTTTATACACATTACAGATTGCCAGACAGATTGTTTTTAATTTCCATCACTACTGGGATGGATGTCTGTACCTATTACTATAAGCAATTCATTTAATAATTAATCATTCTGATCCATTCTGATCTCAAGTTTAATACATTATTAGGGTCATCATCCTGAGAGACTCAAATCTTATCTTCATTCAATAAATATGCAAGTTACAAAATTAGTTAATTAGGTGAAACATAGATTACCTAAATTTTTTTCATCCAACTCTGAACTGAATTCAAATTGATACTTTATTCAATAGTCAATTATTATATATATATATATATACTCCTCAATAATGTTGCTGGTAGATAAATGGATAGGTAATTATATGATCCAAAGAGAATCAATCAAAAAGTATCCAGACATAGTCTGAATCTAGTCATCATATAAGGATTCTTATTTGTTGTACTGGTATAAAATTTCTTACCTTATCTCCTCCATATAAATTTCCAGATATCTCACACTAACTAAAAACTCCACACCTGTTTTTCTGTCTATGTGTGCCCAAATTTGTTCAAATGCTCTTGGTATGATACCTTTCTCATCTCCATCAGCTGAAAATTAAGAGGGGAGTTTAGGACATCATCAAATATTTGTGAATTGTTTGGAGCAATGAGACAGTACCTCCTTCCATAGTAAATGTTTTTCCTGTTCCAGTCTGTCCATAAGCAAACACACAACCATTGTATCCTTCAAGCACTGAGGCAACCAGGGGTCTAACTGTTTCATCATATAGGTTTTGTTGAGTGGATCTGAACAGAGATCTCCCAAAAATTTGTCTTAAGATCAATACAATACATTACCTCTCGTCATACACAGAATCATAGGTGAATATTTTATTCTTCTCGTTTTCACTTCGTGCATTAGGGTTCTCAACTTCAATGACTCCTCTACTAGGATAAATCTTCACAACACTAGTGCAATTTGAATCATTCTCTTTTTCATTGAGGGGCCTACAGCGAACTACCACTTGAACTGATTCATTACAGCTACTTTTCTGCAGAAAAATAAATGATTATATGGGATTTATAAACATTATATCATCAACTTACTTCCATGGTGAATTTTTCTTCATCTGAAGTCATTTTTTGTTGTTTCAAGGAGTCACACTCATAGATAACCAACAAAATATTATTCTATTATCGATCACCTCAATCACCTGTATATTTTGTATGATTTGCTCTGGTTTTCAAATTATAGAGTCATAATTATTTTTTAATTTTTCTCCAAAATAATCAAAATATTGAAAATTGAAATCTTCAGACTTCAGAGTGTCAGAAAGTGTTATAAGGTCAATGTCGATTGTCGATTGTCAAATTGTGAGTCAACTTCAAAAGACCAGACGTGTCAGACAAGCGTCTAGCAGTCTAGCTATCCCATTTTCTTCGGTGGCTCTCTAGATTCCGAAAACATAATTATTGTTATTGATCATTCTAGAACACGTGATTTTGACATGATTTCTTGAGGGGCACACAAACTATCTGTTAGAGGTTACCTTTGATTAGGGTCCCTTGATGGAAATTGACGTTGAAGTCATCTTAACTAGGGTCCCTTGATGTAAATTGACGTTAAAGTCATCTTTACAGGGTACGGACAGATCCTCGTCTCCTCTCACTCTAAAGTGTTTGTGAAACAGTTATATAGTTCCATCCTTATTCAATTCTGGGGATAAACACTAGATTTTTGACATTCGTTGTTTTTTAGGTTATATTGAGGTGGCGTATCATACGTAATATCCATATGGAATTCCTGATTCAACTATACCAAGATATAGATGAACAATCCCTCAGACGAATAAATTCGTCTGAGAACAATCCTCTAGTTTCAAAATGTACTACTCCAGCATAATCTTTGCGAGGTAGAGAACATATAAATTGAAAGCTTAATATATTTCACCAAAAGAGACTGTTCTCAGACTGTATACCAGGGTCGACTGAATTGACTAAATGAATTCTGATTTCAAGCTGAGCAGAAGTTTATCTATGAGCTGAATGAGCTCAGCCTTATGATTGAGAAATGGTGGAAACCTCGATGTGGGTATCTGAACTACTGTATACTCATGTCATGTGTGCTAAATATATTTTCGGAAATCCAATTCGGAGAAGAATTTATGGAGTGACATATTACTATGTATAAAACTTCGTCTGGGACGAAAAGTAGGCTGATAAAAAGTAATACGTAAAATGTGCAGGAAAATAAAGAATAGAATATACTTTACCCCCATGTAATACATGTGATTTCTCCGCCTCCCTTGAATAAAAAGTCATTTTCGAATGATTTATTGATGAAAGAAACATAGAAATAGGTATACGCAGTATAACTTATAGGCACGTTATTTTCACTCTTGCATCCTACATATATTCTATTTGTGGTAGAAGTACTGATGTATTTCGCCATATTGGATCCGTCTTCTTGAATTTTCAAATTCAGACGAAACCATCATTATCTCTCAACCCGAGAACCTGCAGATACCAATTTTGAATAGAATCGGATCTTCATTACAAAATTCGTTCGCCATATATTATTGGATTCGCCATCATGAATTTCCCAATTTTGACAAAAAATCATGAACTTCGACCCCGAAATCCCTCAGATAACAATCTCAAATATGATCAGATCATAATTAGAAATTTCTTTCGCTATATATTGGATCCGTCATCATGAATTTTCCAAGTTTGACAAAACAATCATTATCTCCAACCCGGGAAAACCCCAAATACATTTCAATTTCGAAAAGAATCAGATCATAATAAATTACAAAACTCGATCGCCATATGATCTTCCTCAACAAGTAAATACCCTGTACATACCTATTATTAAAATTTTGAATGATTTTCTGTAGCGCCCATGGACGTGACGTGACAGCAAAGTCAGGGATGCCAGTAGACAAAACTAAAGTCTCTAGATCATTAAAAAAGAATGCAGCTATGATCTGTCCGTACCCTGTTAAGATGACTTTAACGTCAATTTCCATCAAGGGACCCTAATCTTAACAGGGTACGGACAGATCATAGCTACATTCTTTTTTAATGATCTAGAGATTTTAGTTTTGTCTACTGGCATCCCTGATATTGAAGTCATGTCACATCCATGGGCGCTACAGAAAATCATTCAAAATTTTAATAATAGGTATGTACAGGGTATTTACTTGTTGAGGAAGATCATATGGCGAACGAGTTTTGTAATTATGATCCTATTCTATTCAAAATTGGGAGGTATGTGGGGTTTCCCGGGGCTGGAGATGATGATTGTTTCGTCAAACTTGGAAAATTCAAGTATCCAATATATAGCAAAGGAAATTTCATTTTTTGTCAAAATTGGGAAATTCATGATAGCGGACCAATATTGCGAACGAAACTTGTAATTATGATCCGATTCTATTCAAAAAATCAAAATTGGTATCTGGGGATTTCCGGGGTCGAAGATAATAATTATTTCGTCAAAATTGGGATATTCAATATGGCGGATCCAATATGGTGGAAGAGTTTTGAAAATTGGTATCTGGGGGTTTTCGGGGTAGGAGATAATGATTGTTTCGTCAAAATTGAAAAATTCAAGATGACGGATCCAATATGACGAAAGACATTAGTTTATATAATTATTACTCTACCATGCACAAATAGAAAATATGTAGGATGCAAGAGTGAAAATAAAGTGCCTATAAGTTATACTGCGTATACTTAGCGTAATGTATACCTACTCCTTTGTTACTTTCGAAAATGACTTTTTATTTAGAAGAGACGGAAAAATCATGTGTTTAACATGGGGGTGAAGTATATTCTATTCTTTATTTTCCTGCACATTTTACGTATTAATTTTTATAAGCCTTCTTTTCGTCCTAGACGAAGTTTTATAAATACATTAGTAACTCCATAAATTCTTCTCCGAGTTGGATTTCTGAAAATATATTTCACACACATTACATGAGTACAGTAGTCTAGATACCCACATCGAGGATTCCACCATTTCTCGATCATAAGGCTCAGCTACTGCTCTGCTTTAAATCAGAATTCATTCAGTCAATTCAGTCAACCCTGGTATACAGTCTATGAACAGCTTTCAGTACAATTCAATATGATCCCTAAATCGCAAAGATTATGATGGAGTAGTAAGCTCTAAAACTAGAGGATTGTTCATCTATATCTTGTTATAGTTGAATCAGGAATTCCATATGGAAATTACGTATGATACGCCAGTGACCTCAATATAACCTAAAAAACAACGAATGTCAAAAATCTAGTGTTTATCCCCAGAATTGAATAAGGATGGAACTATATAACTGTTTCACAAACACTTTAGAGTGAGAGGAGACGAGGATCTGTCCGTACCCTGTTAAGATGACAAATACGTCAGTTTGCATCAAGGGACCCTACCTTTGATGAGCATAGCCCTGGCCATCCCTGCCACATCTACAATATAATAACAGTTTCACCAAACACAATTATGGAATTCTTTCTAGTTCCAACTCGGATTCCAAGGAAAACGATCCCACTTATTCTGGTTGTATATGACATATCTTGACAAAATACAATGTTTGCCCCTCAGCAACCTGTCAAATGACGTAATTCTGGAATGATTCATAAATTATAGGACAGGTACGAAGGTCTGGAAGGACCCTTTCAATTTTTTTTTCAAAATAACGATTTGAAGTTGAGATCTCGATATCTCGAATTGTGGAAGTGGAGTACTCGAGATCTCGAGTCGGAAAGTCCAGAACTCGAGTTCTCGACTTTCAGGTTGCCAAGCTCGAGATCTCGAGTTGCGAGTTTTTTAATGGGTATTCTGTAGGGTTATAGTTCAGTGGTATTCTGTGACAAAGCCATCGCCTGATAAAAGGTTTATTCGGGTTGCGATTTCAGAACTGTTCAAGAATCGTTCTCGAACTGCGTAGAACTAGTGCGCAGTCGTTTCGAATCCTTGGACTGTTTCAGAACGGTTCACAAATTATGAAAACCCGAACGCGGAAAAAGAGAACCTCTGAGAACATAACCCCTATTCAGAATTTGCGAAATAATATTCTGAAGCTTCAAACTCTCCTTTGAGTCTATTCATATTATCTCTGGAAGTTCTCTGTGGAGGAAATATATTCCATCATAGCATTCGGTAGCTAGATTTTCAATATGTTTCATCCTTTGTACCTACATGAATTTCGACACCCACCTGAAATGTTCAATGAATTGTGTATCTGAATATAATGGCAAAGTATCCCCAACATAATCCTCCATTTTTCGGATTATCTAACAAAAGTTCAAGAATTATCAGATTAGGCACAATATTTTTGCTGAAGTAAGGAACTCCTTCACCACTGCTTCCTGAAGATGAAGAACTACTACTATCAAATGAATGTACTAACTCTATGAAGTATGAATAAACGAAAATATATCATTATGCCGTTACGCTACAACAGACAGAATCGAAAACCAAATGAAATGAGCATGCGCCAAAAATAATCCTAGAACGGTTCATGCTCGAGAGCAGGTACTGGTTTCGGATAGTTCTAGAACCGTCCCAGGACGATTCTAGAAAAACCCGAACGCGTGAAGAGTCAGTCCTAGAACAGTTCCACAAAACCCGAACGCGACCGATTCTACTGCGCAAACTCCTGACAGTTCTAGAACCGTAATAGTTCAAACCCGAATGAACCTAAAGGGTCTTTTCTTATTTTTAGATGACGCATGCGCTGTAATACTACAATTGTGCTCGCGTGCTCGCAGACTGTCATTCATTTTTTTTTCTGGAGATCCTTAGGCACTCCTTAGGTATATGGGTTGAACCGTTCCCACCGGTTAGAGCACAGACACGCACATTTAGGCGAAGGTGGTGGGGAGCAATTACGTCATAATGACGTCAACATTAACTATTTTTGAATTTCTATTTCTTTCACTCAAAACACTTCCACAGTTCACCTGTGTATCTCTTATTACTTCGACATCCACACCATTCATTTTCAATTCGAAAGTCAATCATATCCTCCATATTTCACATGCATCATTTGTAAACAAATATTCAAGTTTACGTTCAGCTAGGGTACGGACAGATCATAGCTGTATCATATACCGTATATGATACCACCTAGACGATCTACCCTAGCTGCATTCTTTTTCAATGATCTAGAGATTTTAGTTTTGTCTACTGGCATCCCTGATTCCCTGACATTGCTGTCACGTCACATCCATGGGCGCTACACAAAATCATTCAAAATTTTAATAATAGGTATGTACAGGGTATTTACTTGTTGAGGAAGACCATATGGGGATCGAATTTTGTAATTATGATCCGATTCTATTCAAAATTGGTATCTAGGGGTTTTTCGGGGTAGGAGATAATGATTGTATCGTGAAAATTGTAAAATTCAGAATGATGGATCGAATATGGCGAAAGAGATTTCTAATTATTATCTGATTCTATTAAAGTTTGGTATCTGGGGGTTTTCGGGGTCGAACTTTATGATTTACATGTGATGAGAAATTCGTTGCTCCATTCTCGACGGGTAGTATTGAAATATTTGAATTTTGTGAGTTGTGAGTCGTGAATTGTTTGATTCTACACACAAGCAGTTGACCGCCTATGCAATAATATACGTTCCCCCACCACGCGCTTTATTTCTTGCGTTCTCTCTGCAGTCAGCAGACCATTCAACTTTCAACTGTTGAGTGTTAAGGAGTTGAGGTTAGGTTAAGTCTGAGTTTGATTTTGAAGTTGCAAATTGATTGTCAACATTTAGGTAGTCAACATTCAACAAAAGAATCGAAAAATGGGTTGATAGGATTATAGGAGACGCATTCAAATATTGAAATACAAAGGAACAAAATAGATTAGAAATTTCCAGTGGTTTATCAGAATGTTGGTAATCCAAATGAATGTATAAAAAAAATCATATAAATACAATCACAGATCTTTCAATCCAAGAAAATTTACCAATGATGGACATATTATATACAGTTAATAAAAAGGAAGATACTTTTACTATCAAAGATGTAGATGAATCAATATCAGACCCTATTAATATGGAGATTAATACTATGAAAAGTATGTTTGTCAATCCTGAAGAACTGGAAGATCATAGCAATCTAAGCAATCCCAGTAGCAATCCAAGTGATGAAATCAAATTGGAAAATGATTCAAAGAATTTCAGCTTGAATTCTACAGACTATAAATGTGAAGTTTGTGGAGAGATCTTTATCAAATATGCTGAATTCAAAGTACACAGGAAAAACCATTATCTAGAGAAAAGAAAGTAAGTTTCTATGATTCCTTATACTGGCGATTGGAGAACATGTTGCACAAGAATAACAGTTTAGGTCCTCAAAGCAATATTGCAATAAGTGTGCTTCCACTTGGGCATTAGTCATCCAACCAGTGACCACTGCATCTTTTCTGAGTGCAAGTGTCCTATAGTCTTGAGAGCCAGCAATCAGCAGGCTGATTAGGGTATTTTAGCAAACTCCATATTGATGCTACCTATACTATTTCACCTGCCTTAGGTGAAATGGGGATTTACTATCCATGTGAATGGTTCCTATACTTATTCCAGCTCCTATAATTATTATGTTATACTGGGTATATCTTTATGAGTTACCAGGATCTATAATTTGTATGGATAGTGAAGGGAACATGGAGAATCCAACTAAAATAATTTCGTTTTCATGAGGCTTCCTGTTTTTCTGGATATGACTTCATCTTTGTTATTTTCAACCAGAAACCCTGTATTTTAGAACATTTTTGAATCCCTCTGATGATTCTAATTCATTTATCATACCCTTACCTACCTAAAATGAACCATTGTTGATTTAGTTATTTGAGTTTTACTAGAAAAAATGACATTGGCCATACTAATAATAAGGTACTTACTTAATTGGACCATATTGTCCATGTAAACAAATATACAATTCAATACAATCAAGTGGCCATAGACCTGAGTCCTTGAGCCAAAATATGGACTTATCTCTTTGTGAAATGTTATTTCCTTTGAGTGGAACAAAGGCCATTTTTATGTGAATTGCAATTTTTAGTGATATACAATGATTATAGTTATCATGAGTATTGAAGATTGAATGATTCATTGACCATAATCACAACCAGTGAATAATTTACATAATTTTTTCTCTATCATAATTCAATTCTATAATTACAATGAGTCCTAGTTCTAATTAATTTCCCTATGCCCAAAACTCATAATCTGGAAATTATCCCATTGATACTACTTGATTCTGCAATAACTGCCTGCAATTTTGGATTTTTCTAGTAGGCTGTGCAAAATATCCATCCACAAATGAATTAAAGATTCATCATCTGCAATGCACAAAATATGGCTGGTGTTTGATAACTATAATAACAAAGAATTTGTTTATTTAAGTGATTCAAGGTGATTGTAATAAAACAAAATCTTGATTATTAATTCACTCAACAGGAGACACATTCCACTTCTGCAGAATATGATGAATCTGATAGTGAACAACTGTAATTATCTATCTTTAATTCATTTGTTGCCAGATATTTTGTACAGCCTACTAGAAAATCCAAAATTTCAAGCAGTTATTAGGCAGGATTAAGAATTGAGTACTATACCTGGGAAATTATGTGGAGTTGGGAATGGGGAAGTTAATTAGAACTATGTCCAATTTTTGGACCCACTTTTCAGCATACCATGTAAATTTTTCATTGGTTGTGATTATGGTCATTGTATAGCACTAAATAGTAATATATTGCATTTCACATTTGTTTGATATGCTGCATTGGTCACTTTTTCTAGAAAAACTGGAGTAACTTGAAATTGGGTCATTTTTTGTGTAGGCCATGATACATCATGAACTTGAACCAGAATTATGAGAGGGATTACAAAACGTTGTAAAAAATAGGGTGTGTCCTTGAAAATAACAGTGAGAGGACATCACTTCCGGAAAAACCGGAAGCTTCAAAATGACTAAGATATTTTAGTTGGATTCGCCCTCTGATTGTCCATGTTCCCTTCACTATGGACAGTGAGTAAGTTTCCAGAATTGTGCTACTTTGAGTTCTCCATGTGTAGATTGCATTAACTCATGAAGATATATCCTGTATGTAGTGCCTGCCATTGAACTTTATGATAAAAAAATTATATATACTAATCAACAACAGTTAAGGATATTGTCTTTTTGCCTCGCTTTTTGCTATGAAGACATTTTTCTAGAAAAAATGTGCTCTAACTATGGATATCTATGTCTATTGCATGGGTTGAGGATATTGTCTTTTTGCTATGACTACATTTTTATGGAAAAAAATTAGTATAGCTATACTTTGGGATATTAAAAGGGCAGACATGCTGGGATCATGTTTCTGAAGTAATTTTTGACGTTTTTTGACTTCTGGACATGCCCTAATGGAACTATCAACGGGAATAGTGAATCCCTATTCCACCTATGGAAGGTAAAATGATATACCTAGCAGGAGACATAGCATTAATATGGAGTTTGTTAAAATACTAGTGTTGTTCAAAAGTCACAGCAAATCTTGAAGTGCCTACTTAGATACTCATTTTATTTATTATTATTTTTATTAATTATCATTTATTTTTTTAAAGTTACCTATACTTCAGCTCTTATTACATAATTATGCATCAAATTTATATCCAAATAGGTGAATGAATGAGTTCTTGTATAATTTTAAAACAACAATAATAACCCTCAGTGTAATCCTTCAGACTAAGCCTAGGTACCAATTTGTGGGAAATACATTCAAAATAATTAAGTCAGTACCTTTATCTATACATCTATGAGTAAATTACTTTTATTTCTGACAGTGACATAAGCTTATATCGTCATAGTTACGATATCTATTATGAGGGTCATAACTCCCTTGGGATGTTATAGATGCTATAATTCCCTCTAGCTAAAATTAAATAAGAAATGCATAGCAACAACCACGCAATAACGTAGCAATAAGGAATCTCCTATTCGCGGTAGTCAAGATCATCATCTGACGTTCTGATGACATTGAAACTATACGGAAAAACATGTCTTACTTCCAATCGGGAAGGTATCTAATGAATGAAATCAGTCAGAAATAAAATTATCTATGTATCACGGGAATTATAGAGCCTCAATAACCTCTGGCAATTGCTGTCCCTCGGGCCAGAGGCCCTCGGGACGCAAACTTTGCCATCGGTAATTAAGGCCCTCATAATTCCCTTAATACATAAATAACTATTTCTAACTTTGACATGTAATTTGACACCTCAAAACTGGCAGAAGTTTTGAAAAGTCTGGTGATGGAATTTTGAATTGACTCGGCCATTAGTTGATGGAAATTCATTGTAAATGTAGAAACTTCACAAACGATAAGATTTCCACAAAATTCTTAATTACATGACATGTTTTGCTTACACAGTAGCTTCTTCAGGTAAAATACTGGTATAATAAACTACACTTACATTGACTCGCCTAACTTTCACATCCTACTTTCCAAACCCAAAGGATTAAGGTACCTGTGGAAAGGTAGGATAAACCTTCATTTTCGGACAGTGGGCACAATATTTCTACATTCAAATACTACTACTGGATTAATGGTTCCCGTATATTGAAGTTGTTTTCTTTTTAAAAAAATGCATCTTATGTTCATGAATGCGATGATTACACGTTCGAGCTGTCTGACCAATATATACCTTAGGACAGGATCCACAGTTGAGTTTGTATACCCCTGATCCTTCGAATTTAGAAGTTTTATCTTTATTAGTTTTGATTAAACCTTCCCAACGTGATGTTATTTGGTCTATAGGCAACTTTCAAGTCCTGTTTATGTAGGAATTATGCTAATTTTTCAGTTGATGATCCGAAATAGGTTGAAGTTCTATAATTTTGATTATTGTTTTTGATGGTGGGATAACACGTTGGGAAGAAAAATGTAAAAGTGTTTGAAGAATCATAGTCTTTCAGCAGAAATGGAATACATCTTGAAATAAAAAAAAAACTTTGAGCATTTTTATAGCATCAGTTACCAGTTTTGCACCTCCCTGTATAGTAGATCTATTTTTCTGAACCACGAAACGATTCTAGGAACAATGGTTACTAAGATAATAATTGAAGAAATCCGCATTCAAGGAACTACTTTTTAAAGTGCTCTAGGGCCCTTAAGAAATATTTTCGGACACATGTTGATAAAAACATTTTTTTCATCTTTATGTGCAGAATCATCTCCCAGAGAATATGAACGTTATTCTGGGATACCTTGTATATTGGTCAGACAGGTCGAACGTTTATTCAACATACGTGTACCATATATGGGCAGAAAGCCATAGTTTTGATGATCATTTCGAAATTTTACACGCAAATAAGGGAATAGAACTCAATCATGATGAATCATTAGAAATCAATAAACGCAAAAATTCAAACATTTCACTTACCGATCAACTAGATCTCAATAATTCACAATTCACTGCTGTTGAATTTGTTTTCTTAGTGAGTAGGTAATTTTTTGGAGCCACCCTTCAAGTTACTCCAGTACATCGTATTTTAATGTAGATATTGTGCCCGCTTTCCGAGAATAAAGGTTTATCAGGATATAAAAGTTAGGCAAGTCAATGTAAGCATGGCCCGGGGGGCAGGCTGCGAGGGGCGGCGCAAGCCAATTTTGTATTTTTATGCAAATTGGATACAAGGTCTGCTTCAGAAGTTAGAGTGAATGCCATAAAACAAAAAGTTTACCTGATTGATCTGGTGGATGATCTACAAGAAGAATGTTCTCTTAAAACAATTCCTGACGTCTCATGAAGATAAAATGAGTTTAAGGCAACTCAGCTTATTTATTAAGCAAAAAGATTTGAAGGAAGCATTTCTATAAATTTAAATAGCATTACGCATATGCAATTGCACTGCAGAACGTTCATTTTCTGTACTTAAAAGAATAAAAAATTATCTTTCTTCTTTGTTTGGCCTTTTTAATTTTTCCATTCATTATCATCATTCTCAACCCAATACACTGCTGGCTTTTATTTCATGATTTAATGTTTTGCTCGTTTTCTGTTGATTTATGGGGCGGCAAACCCTACAGGCCCGGGGCGCTGAATATTGAAATACGCCCCTGAATGTAAGCTTAGTTTATTGTTACCTGATAAAAATATGGATGAAGAGAATAGTGCATTTTGTGCTGTTTCCTCGATATCACTTGGGAAATCTGAACTTGAATCAGCCCTCTTCCACTGATGACAGTATCAAACGACTCTATTTCTTAAATTTCGCCGAAGATTTGTGACCATATTGTTGACGGGCAAAGTCAACTTACCTAATAAATTTTGTACATTTTTAATCGGTAGAACTCACCTTAAACTTGTCATTATTTCTATTCAAGCAACATTTTTCATCAAAATTAGAAAAAATATTGTACATTAGCTGTCCAGCCTGGCTTCGCAGGGTTGGTGTACCTATTTAAAAAATAAATCAATTGTTGAAGTCGTGCTGATCTGCGCCTATCTACAGTACATATATTTTTATTTTTTGTGCTTACCTCTAGCTACTATTATATACTTACACCAATTTTCATTCATTCAGTACCTTCAATTTCAATCAAGTCGGCTAAGCCGTTTAGTTGTTGACGTACCGACAACATCGCCACATACCGCCACACCGCGTCCAATTGTATTTTTTAATCATCCAGGAAACCATCGAAATACCCATAAAAAATTCCAAAACCCAATCGGTTCAGCCTTGTAGAAGTACAAAAGAATAATCCTTACTACACGATGTTCTATCACCCGTTTTCCTTAGGAATGAATTATTTTCCGGTAGCCTACGTTCATCAGGGATAATGTCGGCTTCTAATGGTAAAATAATTTCTTAAATCGGTCCAATAGTTTAACAAAAACACACAAATCTTTCCTCTTTATAATATAATATAAGTACAGATAACACATTACGAACTCTGTGTTTTGCGGGATCTCTTATATGGAAGTTCAATTTGTGTCATCCAATGTACGTTCGTTTTTCCACGTACAATGAATGTTGATCAAACGTAAAATGGATGTCCAACGGACGTTAATTTTGGAAGATACATTGTACGTCCAACTTTATGAGTACAATGAATGTACATTCTACGTACATATATGGTTGGACGTTAAATAGATATTCACTGGACATACAATTTGAAGTATTCAATCATCACCCATGTTTGTACGTGCATTGAATGTCCATGGACGTTCGGAATTGAAATGGACCTGAAATGGACGTTCAATAGATGTGTGCTGTGTGGCAGTGTGGGCTTCGGCAAACTTCGTGATCTTCGATATGAAGGTGTCATGGTGATAAATGAGAATTGAGCATATCCTAAGAATTGGACATCCCGCTACTCACCCTGATGCGTTCAGCGCTCGAAGTTGAAAACAGCGAAATGTTAGGAGTTACCGTATACAGCAATTGAAAAGGTCTTGAACATATATTTCTCATCGAATAAATGAGAATTCTGATATCGATAGACCATTTTTACTCACTGTACAATATGTTTCGTCAGATCAGGTATTATTTCAGAATTCTATCACGTTAAATGACTCATTGATTATGCCCTATCTTAGTAGGTCGATAAATACCAAATTAATGAACGTGTTTTGTTTGATGTAGCCGCTACTACTCATATATTCATTCAAATTCAAAGTATAACGCCAGAAATGCTGAATAATGTTTCAAATTCAATAGTAAGAAGATATTATGCATGCTTAGTAAGCAATGGCAATCTTTCTGAACATTTCCTATGAATTCATCAGTTTTGTATCTGATAGTTCTGACGTTCGAAGAAGTTTTTAATCTGTGCATCTGTTTATTTCTTTATTGAATCATTCATTATTCACGTATTCTAAAGTGCGTAGTGATGTTGATGTAGCATTTTGACTGTTAAATTCGATTAATTAACTCTTTTTCACAGAATTATAAAAGACTCATATCCGCATTCCAAAAATTACTTGTCGATGGCCAAAATAAGCTCAAAACGCATCAAAACCACGATATGTAGCATAATGTCGAAATCAGAATGGAAATGGCACTTCGAATCTGATATGAAAATAATAACATACATAAAGTAGTAACTTAGCAAAAGCGCATACTGTGAAATATTCTACACCTCAAACCTAGCATTTCCTGTAGAAAGCATTTTCGCGACATGGGTATTCTAACTGTATATAATATATTCTTCAGTGTCTTACCTACTCGAAAAAAAATATTCATAATTTCCAAACATTTGGTACAATTTATGTTCCACCGTACTCACTAACCCAAGAGAAGAATGGTCCTAAAATTACAGCTATCAAACTGTACAATCACTTACCTCGTACCACTCAGATTAGCAGTTTCAAACAGTTCAAGTCAAAAATCACAATTTTATTGAAAGAAAACCTTTTTTACTCCCTGCAAGAGTTCTTTGAAGACCAATTTTATCATACCTAGATAATGTTTTGTTAGTGATGTTATTACTGTTAGTATATTTTATATCATTTGGCTATGTCCCATTGTATTCTACTATTTTTCTACTCTAGTATTGGGTTTTATATATTTTTCTGACCTTGACAATGCCTATACGGATGTATTTCAGTCGATGGAAATAAATATTTTGTATTTGTACTTGTATCAGAACCGTATTTGAAAAAATGAGGTTGATTATGGTTGCTCAAAGACGAAACGTTGGATCAAAAAATCGATGATGCCGAATTGAATAGCATCAATAGTTGTCATGAAGATGTTTTTTCCGTTTGGTCATATCTTCATTATTAACGCCAGAAAAAAATTCAAAATCCGAGAATGGGGTCGTACACACTAGTCGAATTTACGCCACATACCTATTTTACGTTGATCATTCCGAGTATAAATAGTATTTGATGCAATCATTTTTCATTTAAAATCATCGCAAATATTTTTTTCAATAATTAAATTCGGCGACTTCGAAAAACGCCAGGTTCGATGACCGAATTCTGGGTTTTGCATAAAAAATTAACATATTTCGACGCTGCCAGATTTGTAACTAGTAAACCTTATTAGATTCAATATGACCAATGACAATAGTATCCACATTCACAGAAGACAATAGTTCGACCTGGTCCCTAGTTATCACTTACTGAATACTTATATACTTGCAAGATGCTTTACTACCAATAAAAATATCCTAGTATTCCTAATAATGATCGAGATTTTATTTAATTCCAAATTATTTTGTGGCACGGACAACAGTGTAATGTCTGGGTTCCCAGAGATACAAAAAAGAAGAAGACAATAAGACAAACTACATTGTGAACCTAACTCCCTTAATACGTTAATATCGGCTGTCACCTTCATCGTCAAATCCTTGTTTCATCTAGTCAAGATGCGAATATTCAAAGATAATCCTCATATTATCTGATTCTTCAGTTGTGTGCTGTGATCTCTGTTATCTGCATTAACTATTCAATCCAGAAAAATCATTCCATATTCTGATTGAAATGACAATCAAAATTATTCTTGCACTTGCCTATCAGAAATAGAGAATTGATACGTAAGTCGAACCTTATATAGTGTTCTCGGATGATTACGTCACTCGTTTTCCCGCGTTTTTTATGCTATGAAATATCGTCAATATCAATATTTCTTCAAAAACGTTACAGAGCTCTGAGAAAAAAAACGTTTCGCGACAGTGATCTAGTTAGAGTTAGTAGTTCGAAATAATGAAATAAAATTTCTCACTAAAACAGGGCTACAGTCATTAACAACTTTTTTGAAAAATGACCGAAACAATTTCTACGAATAATACTGGTTAGTATACTGCTCATAGGTTGATCGAGGTGGTAAAATGTTTTTGGGGTTTTCTTTGACGTCTCTCTAAATAAAAATATTAGTCTTATTTCAATATACCTCTAGTAAGGACCAAACATATACAAATATTTCCTTCTCAGGAAACAAATTCGAAAGCAGTAAATTGTTAAGGTCTAATTATTGATCGTTAAGTGAGATGTTAGAATGTTCCTGTTTCTTGACTTCTGATGATGTTCATGAAAGCGGTGGTTGGACGTTCTACCTGTCTGACCTATATGCCGTTTTCACATTTTAATGTATGTTTAGCAATAACAAATCAGATTGATTTGCCTCAAAATATCTATGAGTTAAAAATGTCATTATTGAAACACTTAATAGTCAGTGACACTCTATCCGTAGGTGTCACATCTGCAACATCACTCTTCAAAGCATTGGAAAGCTACAAGAACATGTTTACAAGCACTTGGGAATGAAACCATTCAGTTGCGATGAATGTGGAAAGTCTTTTATATCCAAGAATCATGTGAAATTACATAAGAGGTGTCATAATAAAGAAAAAACTTTCCAATGCAGCAAATGTGATAAGGCATTCAGGAACAGTGGATCTCTAAGAAGCCATCAACTTGTTCATGCTGAAAAAGTTCAAGAGTTCATTTGCAAGGTGAGTCCCGATGATTGTTCTGAAAGCTGTGGAAATTTAAACTTACAATTCGTTTTCTTCAGGTGTGTAATACTGATTGTAAAAATCTTCCCGACTTCCGAAAACATATGGTTGAACATGGGAAGAAGTCTGAAATTAAATGTGGTGTATGTGGTGCGACTTTCATGAGTGATCGCTCCTTAGAATGCCATCTACATTGTCATAAGGATCTGAAATTTCCTTGTGAATTTTGTGGCAACATTTATCCTTCGATGTACCGTGTCAAAAGGCACGTCAAAAGGGCTCATATTCCCAATCGATGTGAAGAATGTAATGAGGTAATAATTTTTCAGTCATAATTGGATTTGCAATCTAAGTCATGAAAGCCATCCATTCTCAAAGTGGTCCAGTATTTTCAAATTGCATAAAAAAGTCGGTCGGTCACAAAATTTGATAAAAAACACCAATGTGTGTGAATTTAGATTTGGCATCACGGCCATCATCATCAGACAATAAAAAGTATAGTAGGAGAGGCGGCTTCAGATTTCTACCGTCATCTGATGAAGATATGATTTATGTCCCAATGGAAAGTAAAAACATTGTAGTTCATCGAACGGCATCTGTGCCAATCACTATTCTGAGCAAAATGATTGAAAAAATTGCACATTCAATCTAGCTTAAATGTAATGTAAGATGATATTTTCGCATCTATGCTGTAACTCTGTCAGTATAATACAGAGCCTCTATAAATGATCCTAACATTGTAGTAACCCTTAAAATATTTTATTGATTTGCCGCATCCTACTTATAGAGGTCTAACTATAACAGATTCGGCGTTTTAATGCCTGTAAACATTAAGCAGATAACATAAGTACATTTAAATATTCAAGTGACGTACTCTTGAGACAATTATAAGAAAAAAAGGCTATATGATATTGTGTCCGGAGATACAGGCTGTTGAAATTGATTTTCTTTTTCGTTTTTAGAAAATAACTTGCAAAAACAAAACATTTGCACGAAATTCGGTAGGTACCCGGTTTTTTTTGAAGTTGTCATTATTTATTTCAAATTGCCCTAACATTTTTGATAGTCTACTTTTGGTACTTTTCATGAGAAAATCTTATTCCCACACCTTTTCCAAATAAAAAAGGTTCGCTTCATCAACAATGCTGGAAGACATCGTTTCCATTCACTATTCTCTATATCGATCCATGTTACTCAGCTCCTGTAGAGCACTAATTGAAGTTGCTGAGCACATAACAAAAACTAACTATGTGGTAGGTCTCGTCATAATGAACTGTTTTTTTTTCTATGAAATGTTTATCGAAAATTGATTTGTTTTGATACAAATGGTTGAATTTTTTCAAAACATGGTTGGTTCACGTCATAAGTTATTTGCAATTGCAGATATTTTCATCAAAGTTTGAACACAGTCTCCTTAGGAAAAACTAGTTAATTTTGACCAAACTCCTACATCATACTTGGTTTCGTAATGTTTTCAGCAAAGTCACGACCTAGAAGCTAAGTAACATGCATCGATATGGAAAATTGTGAATATCTCAAAAACGATCACATCTAGAGGGTTGGGTGGGAATACGATTTTTTCATGAAAGGTACGAGAAGTTTACCTACTGTCAGTACTGTATCGGCAATTTGAAATAAGTAATGACATCGTACACAGCGCCCTCTAGATGTTACATGAAAATTAATATGAAATTATGATTTCTCTCGTCCAAATTTCGTGCAAATAACTTATGTTTTGCAAAGTTATTTTTGAAAAGCGAACAAAAAAGTCAATGTGAACACCCTGTATCACTGAAATAAAGCATTTCCAGATACAAGTTCTAATAAACTGATTGTCTCAGAAATACGTTACTTAAATATTCCATCGTACTTATGTTACACCCTGTTTATTGTGCCAATGGCTCCCGTTCGTTTTGGTGCACGGCACATCAGCAACAACATTGCAAGAGAAAGCAAACCTTTTTGCACAGATGTTCGCAGCAAATTCTACTTTAGATTCCCAAGGAAAACTTTCACCTGATATTCCACCCATCCGTCAACACACTATAATTTTTCATCGCACGCATTTTGCAATGTCTCAAAACGGATAGGACTAACGATCCTGATGGTTTTCCATTCATTATCCTCAAAAAATTTGCACCAGAATTGACACCAATTCTCTGCAAGTTATTCACTTTTATGTATAGAAAGTCATATCATCACTATCGAAAGGAGTTTTGAAATCTCTCGATATCGCCTACTTTGTGGAAATAGCGAGGCGTGGGAAAATCTTGCTAAATTTCCGAAGTTTCAAACCAAATTTACAGGCATCTTGACACATTCATTTGGGTTCACATTCACATTTTCTCAATTTTTTATGTATATGGAAACGGTGCGTTATATTTTCGACTTTCAATGGTGAATCCATAAACGACACGAAGTCCTAACTCAAGAAAATCCTGTGGTAATATTTTATTGACTCACTTTTGGTACATAAATTGAATCGAATGTTCAGATTTTCGAATAATCCTCACACATTGCAGGAGTCAGTCCATGATGGAAGCACAATACACTCACTCAACAAATAATATAATATCAATACCTGCTTAATGACCTACTAATGCTCTCATTTTATAATATTTCTATTTGAAATCGGAACAAAATCTTGCTGAAAACATGATACTCCTGACAGATATATCAAGATCAAGATATTTCTACACGAATTATTGTTGCGTCCTGTCTCTTCTGCGTCCTGTCTCTAGATGCTTCTTATCAGCTATTATTGAATTCGTGCATCATCAACGGGACTCTTCAGGTCCCTAAAGAAGGAAAACACATCATTGAAAGTCTAGTTCAACTTCATAATAAGATTCGAAACGCATTTTGAAATTATCCAAGAAATTGTCCATCCTTCATGCCATCTGTCATCGAATATGAGAACCCCACGTTCCGAACTCGCATTCAATTGTTCATATCGAGAGCTAGTCTGGAGAAACAAATGAAAAGTGGGCACACCAGAGGAATTATAAACATCTCATTATTCACCATATCGTCAAGTCGGGTATCTTGCTGGAAGATTGCTAGAGTCCAACCAATCCCCAAAAAAGGCAACAAAAACCTGCCCAACAACTACAGACCTATTTCTCTGTTATCAATTATCTCCAAAGTAATGGAAGCAGCCATCAACATTGAGCTTATCAAATATCTGGAAAGTTCAGGAATCATGATTGACAATATGGCTTTCGCCAACGAAGATCAACTAGAGATCTCTCTGCTTACGTCACCCATATATGAGGAGCAACTGAGCAAAACGGTTTAAATCCATAATATATGATTCCGAGTAAAAGATGAAAAACTGTTTGAATCAGATATAATCAGAAACAGATTTTCTTTCGGTTACAAACCGAAATGAATAACAATCTCGGGAAGGTTCGATGGTGATATTCTCCAAACTCAACAGTATATATGCATTTATTCAACTTTTTTTGTTGGATTTATGTCAGTTTGCTCAATCAATGTGTGGATTTATAGCATTTTGCTCGACTATCAATGGATTTATTCCGTTTTGCTCGATCAGTTTTTGGATTTATTGCATTCTGCTCAGACAAAAAAAATCTCAATATTTCTTCAATCAAGATGGCCATCTCTAGATGATTTACTCAATTGAACGAAAACATTCACAGATAACTTCCTTGAGAACGAAATCATTCACAGAAAACTTTCCTGTGGATTCATTTCAGTGACAACCAGCCGATGGATTTATGACAGTTTGTTCAATCATTCATAGGATTTAACGCATTTTGCTCGAATCTCCATTTTCGATATGGCAAATTTAAATGGATCTGAAGTGAACATTATGGATTGTGTATTGACCAAAATGTATTACTTCAGTAATATTCACTTGAAAAATGTTAAAATTGGAATTAATGCATTTTGCTCAGTTGCTCCTCATATGGCAAGCTTCATTAGAAATACATTGGGTAGTTCTAGCTGTGGCGTTAGACATATCAAAAGTATTCGACCGTGTTTGGACTCCTTCACAAACTACCATCATACGACTTACCACCTCAGCTATGCCATCTTTTATAGTTTTCTTTCAGGTAGATCGCTTAACGTGGTGGTGGATAGAGTATCGTTTGATACCATTGCTATCAATTCCGGCGTTCCACCATATAATCAAAGATAATTCATAATATTGTCACGATATAATAGGGTTGTTTCCACCATGTCATGATAAAATAGATGGTTTCTCCACCCATATCAATTCATAAGGGGTTTGCTAGGCTAAATAGTTTGCGAAAGGTAATATTCAAATAGGCACTAATAGTTTAGGGGTAGCTGAAAGTACGATATTATATTCATCCATATTCAAACATAACAATATTTATTGCAGCATGAAACATTATGGGAAGTGATGACAAACATATGAGTAACCAACAATGAATATAAAGACCTAATAACAACTTACATTATAATGACCATTACGACGAGCTCTTGTCAAGTCAAGAGTAGCCCCAGACTAGACTAACTTCGGAACCCTCACATCCAACATTTATATACATCAATTTATCAGATTCGCACGTTTCTGATGAGAGTTCCTTGGTTAGTTTTCATAATTCAATATCAACGGATGATTTGATTAACTTTATGTTTATAAAACCCTCATGGTTCGAAATTACCAATATACCGTATGTTCTCCTCGTGACAATATTCCTTCATTGTTGTATTCTCTTCAACATTTGATTTCGGTCAATGTTTCATTCTTTCAATATCATACCATTCACATAAGTATCGAATTAGTCGACTTGTTTCAGGTGTTTTATGACAGAGCTCAGTTCACGAAACACGTCAAAAATCACAATTTGGATAAACCTGTTGAATGTAATATTTGCCAGAAAAAATTTGACAAGGGAAAAAATTTGTCCGAACATATAAGGCTCCAACACAAGCAAGATAAAGAAAAACAGAAATGCCATATTTGTGAAAAGGAGTTTCCAAATGCTGCACTATTAAAGAATCATGTGAAGACACATGATAAAAGTTTCAAATGTCCAGACTGCCATAAAGTATTCTCATCCAGGTATGTACTATAACATTAAACAATCAAAAAATGTATATGGCATTTTTATCAAACAAATACTAATAATAATTTTTGATTGTTCAAATACCTTTTTTCTTGTGATTTATTGTATATCTATTATCTAAAACACAATTATATTTATCGCTCTAATTTCGGAAACACCCTGTATCAGTCCATATTTCTTATATGGATATTATTACTAGAAACTTCCATTCAATTTTGATCCATGAAATTGGTGTTTTACTAAGATACTTAATTATTTTTGGATACCTATTCAAGCTGTTAGTGAAATATCAATTTTATAGTGGAATTTCTGAGTTCAACCTGTTTCCTATATTATTTCATTTTTTGTAGGTTCAATCTCAAGACACATTCCATTACTCATTCCGGAGAAAGAAATCATAAATGTGATATCTGTCAAAAAAGTTTCACCACAAAGGGCAGCTTGAAAAATCACAAGGCCGTTCATAGTGATGAAAGGCTGTTTCAGTGCGAACAATGTGCCAAAACATTCAAAACTAACCGTAGACTATATTCTCATAAATTCTCGCATGCTACTGAGCAGAAATTTCAATGTGAAATTTGTTTGCAGAAGTTCAGGTAAGATTGAGCGATTTTTTGTTTATGACTTTATGTGAACATAATCTCATCAGCCAGTGAGAGAAACAGTTCTTTGATGGATTTGTCGTTTCTGTTTTGGTGTTTTTTGTATATCTAGAGTATGGATACTAGACAAGCAGTTACATGAATGATTTTGAAACAAATCATATGTTTTGAAGAACAGGGACATATATTTTTCGCTTAGGCTTTTTATATATTTCTCCCTGCACTGTCTTCTTATATTTTGACCCCTACCCACAGCTTCGACTATACGAGGTGGAAAATAACTTCAAATATGAAAGTTGTAGGGTTTCATCTATACTATCCTTTGGCACACCTCAAAAAAACAAATTCCAATCGCAAAATAAAAAAAGAGTTACCTTCAGTTTTTTTTAAATGAAACACCCTATATACTCTCAGCTCTAATGAATGATCTTTTTCTTCTGTTTTCAAATATATATATAGTTTGCTAATGTCGCCTTGAGCCGTTTTTGACTAAAGCTTGCAGCACTACCGAAATTTTCACATTATTTTCCTGATACAATCTCACTATTTCATTATTTTCCTCTATGAGATAACCCATTTATCTGATTAGAGAGATGGATACAGATGTCAAAAAGCGCCTGTTTTGTTTTCATGGCATTCTGTTGTGTCCAAAGCCATCTTAACGTCATTGGCAATTTTGTGCTTTGACATCTGGCAACTATGTGTTTCACTCATTGCGTCGTGAAGTCAGTAGTTATGAGTGGAAAATTTCGACAGTTCGATAAGACTGTGACTTCATTTGTGATTTTGATATCAAAACCATCCTGATAATATTGGAGAATTTGCAACATTTGAAGCATTTTTGTTATTATGTGTTAGTCAATAAACATTTATAGAATCACATGGTTAAATAGTTTGAGTCCAACGATCTGAAATCATAAAGAGTTATTATGAAAGTGACAATTTTAGATCGTCAAATATGAAAATATAACAAAAATATGTCTAACAATTTCACTATGTGGTCCTAGAAATATTCATTGAACAAGTCTGAAGAAATAAGCTAGCAAAATATATACAGGGTATATCTGAATAAGACCAAATATATTTAAGAGGTGATTATGTGACGGAAATTAGGGTAAGTGTTTGGTATAATTTTTTTTTGGAAAACCTCTCCACGTAAAAGTGTTACCCCTCCGAAGAAGAAAAAACTGGTTGTCTTTTTTATTTCCTCGTAAAAGCTGAAGTTTTCGAAAAAACTTGTAGTAAATTGGGTTTTCCAGCCTTTTTTGAAGCAAAATTTTCATAAAAAAAGTTGTAAGAAAAAATTTCTTAGGGGTTGAATATTTCAACCTCTTCTAAGCACACTTTTGGGCTGAAAACATTCCAAACTGTATAGTTTTATTGGGGATAATAAAGAGAAAAACATTTTTTGTTAAATTTCGGAAGGGTGTAACATTTCCGGGGAAAGGTCTTTCAAATAATTTCAAACAAAATTCCCACCTTGATTTTCATCACAGAATCACCACTTGATTTTTTTTGGTGTTATTCAGATACACCCTGTATATTATCATCAGTACCATGATAATCCGGGGTGCTACAGCGTCCCAGCCTCCTTCACCTTAGCACAGTAATAAAAATACATTCTCTCTAGATGGAATCAGAAGTAAACACTTTTCAGTAAAGCCTTACTCTATTTCAAAGAACATGTATGTATGAATATTTTTAGCTAATTTCTGACATGCATGTCTACTGGATGCTAGATGATATTCATGCCATACGTTATTTTCGTTGATAAAGGATGAGAAATACGAAGACCCGGATATCATCCATATTTGCTTTTTTGCATCAAAATGTTTTCGATAAATCAATGAGGTATATTGTATGCCTTCAATGGGCTTATATCACAAAAAAAAATATTTCATAATTCGATAGAAATCACCCAAACTAGCTCACCACCGCAAACCGTTTCTTCCTGTGAGCTCCCTACGTTTTATAAAAAATTATTGAAATCCCCGATTTTTACGACCTCTGAAAATGAGGCGATGTTGTGACATCAAAACCCTAATACTGAAACAAGACAGAGATGAATGATACATGATTTCTGACAGAGTGAATTAGCGCGAGATCACAGTTGAAAGAATTAATATATCAGTTGCCTTAGTCTCCGTCGGGCTTTTGGTATTTTCTTTTAACTATGGCGAGATGAGGTTTCTACGTCATAAGAGGGTCCGTTTTCAGATGGTACTATTATTTATGTCCAAAAATAAAGCATTCCAGTTGATTTTTCGATCGAATTATGTCGTCAATCATTATTTATGTATAAAAGGGTCATTATAAACATGGTTTGAGTTGAAAGTTCTACTAAGGTGTACACGCCCATTCCATTTCCTTATCTGATAACTAACTCAATGACATCATTGTGTAATTATTTCACAATAAATGTCATCTCCCATGAAATGTCAAATTTCAGGCAGACAGCTCTGTCTAATCAGATGGCTAAAGCTGAATAAATAAAAAATTTCGCTATTCGTTACAGCTGTTCATAAAAAAAGCGTGAGAAGTGTTGCAATAATTAATTTAGGTCCCTAACGACACAGTGGAGTAATTGAATGCCAATAATTCATTATCAGTCCACTCGCCCATTGAAACTAAAAACAAAGTGATGAGTTTTCTTTTTAATAAGTACCTCATCAAATTGACGCTTTTCTAGCTATATGAAACGGCACATCAATCATTTTTTAAAAGGGGCCCCGTACCGCGCACTAACATCGTTTGTCTATAGTCGTTCTGCTGGTCCAAATCATAGCTACTTCGCTTGCAGGGTGAAACAGTACCTCGAATACTACATGACCAAACATTCTACTTTGAAGCCATTCCGATGCACTATCTGTTCGAAACGCTTGAAGCACAAGAAATCATACGAAAAACACATGAATTCCAACAAACACAAGATTCGCGTGGATGACCGCGATTGCGTGCTCATCCTCATTATTTAACAATTGAAACTGAAAACAAAGTGTTGATTTTTCGTTTTCAATAAGTACCTCATCAAATTGGCGCTGTTCTAGCCATATAAAACGACCCGTTAATTATTTTTGATAAGGGGCCCCGAGCACTAACACCTTGTGTCTATAGTCGTTCTGTTGGTCCAAATCATAGCTGCTTCGCTAGCAGGGTGAAACAGTACTTCAAATACCACATGACCAAACATTCCACTTTGAAGCCATTCCCATGGACTATCTGTTCGAAGCGCTTCAAGCACAAGAAATCATACGAAGAACACATGAATTCCAACAAACACAAGATTCGCGAAGATGAACACGATTGCGATTTCTGTGATGACAGTTCGTAGTGAAACTGTCATCACAGAAATCACAATCGTGCTCATTCTCATTATTTAACAATTTAAACTGAAAACAAAGTGTTGATTTTTCGTTTTCAATAAGTAACTCATCAAATTGTCGCTTTTCTAGCCATATAAAACGACCCATTAATTATTTTTGATAAGGGGCCCCGAGCACTAACACCTTTTGTCTATAGTCGTTCTGTTGGTCCAAATCATAGCTGCTTCGCTAGCAGGGTGAAACAGTACTTCAAATACCACATGACCAAACATTCCACTTTGAATCCAATCCCATGGACTATCTGTTCGAAGCGCTTCAAGCACAAGAAATCATACGAAAAACACATGAATTCCAACAAACACAAGATTCGCGAAGATGAACACGATTGCGATTTCTGTGATGACAGTTCGTAGTGAAACTGTCATCACCGAAATCACAATCGTGCTCATCCTCATTATTTAACAACTGAAACTGAAAACAAAGTGATGATTTAGCACACAGTAACACCTTTGTCTATAGTCGTTCTGCTGGTCCAATCATAGCTACTTCGCTTGCAGGGTGAAACAGTACCTCAAATACCACATGACCAAACATTCCACTTTGAAGCCGTTCCGATGCACTATCTGTTCGAAGCGCTTCAAGCACAAGAAATCATACGAAAAACACATGAATTCCAACAAACACAAGATTCGCGAGGATGAACACGATTGCGATTTCTGTGATGACAGTTTCACTACGAGAGATTCGCTCCTCGATCATTTCGCATCGGTCCATCATAAGGAGAACGTGATCAACAGTTTGAGAGACTGCGAAGGTATTGAAAATTCCGAAGATGGGCTCGAGCCTGACGCGGACAATTTCGGAGATGATGGGAATTCCGACGAAGACATCAAACCCGATTTGGGTGGATGTGGAATCAATCTTATGGCCAAAGACGATGTGAAAGAAGAATGTAGTGATGAAAATCCTGAATTGGAGTATAAGGTGAAAGTAGAGACCGATGTTGCTGGTTATATGGAGTAAGTCAGTGAACTTGATGGTGAATTTGTTTGTATTCACAAAGATAATAGATACACTAGATAGTCAACGCCTATGTAAAAATTGGCAACGCTCCGAAAGTATCTGACAGACCGTCGGCTGATCGGCTGTGCTGATTCGTTGACCAAATATTGATATCGGAGTTGGTGAAATACGCGGCGTTATAATGAATTGATGCGCACAGCAGATTATCACCGCTCTGTTCATGCCTGCTTACATTTACGGTGCCTATCTAGGGTTTGTATTATCTTTGGTATTCATAAGTTCAGTAGTTGACCTTACTTGGTTCTGTGATTTCATTGATCCTAGGTATTTATTGTTTCCGTTTTGGGAAACCTATAAGAGTAAATCCACATTTTTGGAATGTACTTTTCTATTTTCAAATGAGTTCAACGTTTCTTCGCTTATGTATTATTTAATAGCAATTTTTCATATCTTCAGTGAATTATAGCTATTTGTGTATCATGGGAAGAGTTAGACCCACAATATGCAGGATGATTCTCAACCTGTATGCATGTATTAAAGGAATAATTATCAATAAACTGCGAACACCTAATGTGCTCAATTGCTCACCTATTTTTTCAGTAGAGAAATTAATAAGATACAAACAATTTTGTTGCTACAATCTAATATTCAGTAGCCCTATATGGCCTATATATAACATTGTGTGTTTAATGTTACTGTTTGTTGTGAAATATTACTAGTTTCTGAATTGGATTGGCCGTCAAAATAATATCGACTATAAATATTGAGGCATTCTACTGCTATTGTTACTATGTCACACTATTGAATCTTGATATGAGTATTTATTCTCATATTATGTCTATAAGTATATAAGGAAAATGCTTTCCTTTTGTCACCATACTAATGTGTGTAAGAATTCTTGTAGTATTGTATGTAAGTTATAGAATAAATGAACAATCGAACAAAGTGGACTCTGAAATAACCTTGAAAACGATCCCACGGTTTGATATCATATCACCATTTTTCCCTTTCTGGAAGGTACAACTTTGAGCAAATTATATATCTACTTCGATTTTGAACTGAACCAACTTTGACTAAAGGGCATAGTATAATTTATACTAAGTATACTGGTATATAATTTTACCTATTATAAGGTTATTATTTGGGGAAAACTCCAGATGATTGGCTGTCAGTAATATTGACTTTCTTCAATATAAAAGGAAGAATACCATCAAAAACACTTGAATACTTGGATTTCAGATCATCAATTAAATATCGTTGGAAATACACCTTTGTGGATACAAAACGAAATAATTATTTTCCTCTGATAGAGGACTTGTTTATATTTGTTCTTGTTAGTAAGTTTGTTAAAGATACCCCAGCCTGCTTTCGATTAATGGGCTTATATCACAAAAAAAAATTATTTCATAATTCGATAGAACTCACCCAAACTAGCTCACCACCGTTTCTTGCTGTGAGCTCCCTACGTTTTATAAAAAATTATTGAAATCCCCGATTTTTCGGACCTCTGAAAACGAGGCGATGATGTGACGTCAAAACCCTAATACTGAAACAAGACTATTCCAGACAGAGATGAATGATACATGATTTCTGACAGAGTGAATTAGCGCGAGATCACAGTTGAAAGAATTAATATATCAGTTGCCTCAGTCTCCGTCGGGCGTTTGGTATTTTCTTTTAACTATGGCGAGATGAGGTTTCTACGTCATAAGAGGGTCCGTTTTCAGAAGGTACTATTATTAATGTTCAAAAATAAAACATTCCAGTTAATTCTTTGATCGAATTATGTCGTCAATCATTATTTATGTATAAAGGACCATTATAAACATGGTTTCAGTTAAAAGTTCTACTAAGGTGTACACGCCCATTGCAGGGGAGTGTTATTCTATTCTAGTCGTTTATTGACTTTGTAAACAGACGGATTCATCTTTCGTTCAGTTTTATTAGCAAAATACCCTCAGAATTTGTTTCTATACTGAGTACAGCTTCATGTCAATAGTCACCCAATCATTTTGCTTTCCTTCATGTTCTGGTGCGTAACTAATTCATTATATTATGTATTTGTATTGAGCAGATAGATATCTTTCTGAACAAAAGCTCAATTATCCTCAAAATTGATCTTTAGTCTTGTCCAAATTCAAATTGCTAGCGACTTCTCTAATACTTGCCTTTGGATTATTCCAAAATGCTCGTATTATTTCATCATTCTGAAATTCGTGGTTATTGACATCATTCCTCATTCTGGTCCGATAAGTAGAACCTGATATGTTTAACAAATTATTTATTTTTGCCACCGTTCTACTATGAATGGGTGGCTGATAGGGTGCCGCTGATTGAAAATCTGTGCTGTTCTTCCGAAGCTAACGGCATGCTCACCAACTTTATCATCACTGAAAAGGCGAGGTGCCATTTTAACGCACTATTCATATTATTTCAGCTCGAATATTTCGAAAACACAAAATTAATCATTACAATAAGCAAATGATACTGACAATAACTAAATAATCAAATGTTTATCCTAGCCATCACGACCTACTGTATTCTAATCCAGTGTGCACTGGGCGATTTCTTGATTGACAGGATGTTCTGGAAAAAGATTATGTTTACTGATGAAGCCACATTGAAAACTGACCAGATTGATTAATTAATCCGTTACATCATATTTTGATGTAGATATTGTGCCTACTTTCCTTCAGGTTGGGAGAGTAAGATATAAAAGTTAGGCAAGCCAATCCAAGTTTAGTTTATTGTACCAGTATCACCTGAAGAAGCTTCTGTGTTAGCGAAACATGAATTTTGTGGAAATCCTATTGTTTCTGAAGTTTTTACTTCAACTATGGATTTCCATCAAGTAACGACCGAGTCATTTGAAAAAGAGTTGGTAATATTTTCCGGGATGTTTATTTTGGAAATAAGTATCAATGATTATTCATCGCATTTAGTGAAACAGAAATATGACAAGTATATTTATTCTTCATCCAATTAACTGTTCAAGAAATAATAAATAATTATCAATAAACAAAATGAAACATATGAGTGATACCTAAAAATAGAACTCGAAGCATTACAGAAAAAACAAAATAATTCAACCCTTGATACTAAAACCTCAAGATGAAGAATCCAATCAACATTAAAATAGTGGATGGTATTACAGGGTATGAAGCATGTGAATTAGGGTCGATCAAATGTCTCTCGCTATTTCTGAGTAAATTCTTGAAGTTCTCCACATACTTGATTTCAGATCCATCAAATGTCAATCCTGGGGTAGAGTCCTGGAAAATTATATTATTCAGAGAAAATCCTCTGATTGTTCAACAATGACAGAAAAATGATGCTTCATGAAGCTAATTATATAGATGTCAATTTGAATTTTCTTCCATATATTGAATCATTGGATGATTAATGAATGATTATCATTCAATGACAAGTGAACAATTTCAGGGGGAATATCAGACCACATAATTATTGAAAAATCAACATTCTGATAGAGAAGCAGTTGTCATGATTTTCCAATACATGCGTATTTTAAAAATAACATACACAAAAATTAGAATCATTTGTCAACTCTGTGAATAGAAATAATTTAATATAATAAATACTGAATAATACACCAAATCATCTCCATGAAAATTTAATGTGAATACTCACATCAAGGGAACATGTTTTCGGAAATACGCATGTCCATCATCAGCCAATGAAGAAATTAGTCTTGAGCAGTGGCGGCTCGTGACTTTCATGACAGAGGAGGCTAAATGATATGAGATTTATTGTGAAAAACAACTCTCTACGACTCACCCAAATCAATAGCTTTAATGACATTATGTTTACCAGTTAACCTGAACTTAATACTTGAAGCACATATCTTCAAAATCCTGTGATTTGCAGTGTCGAATCCGCGAGGCAAAATTTTCAAATCATTATATCCTAATCGCCCCCAACATGATGACTTATCGGTTGAAAATAATAGGCAGTACCAACAAAATAGCTTATTCCACACCTCAGATCCCGTCAACCAGATATATTTTTGATAATTATCAGAATTGAACGAACGATTTTGTTTGCTACCTCTTGCAATCAGATTTTTTCATTCCGGTGTCGGACGTTTGTTTTTCACAATCAATTTATCTTCATAAGACAAAGTACTCAATGGGTTCACCAAAAAGTATTCCACTAAATCGCAATCGTTTAAAACACTCATTTTTCAGAAATTTATAGAGCCCCTAACCATTAACCTAACATAAACATAAACAATGCACTCGCGCTGGATTGTCCGCAATTCGCGACGCGACACGACAAACACGTGCTATTCGGGCATTTGCATTGCGCGCGTGAGTTGCGTTTGTGAAGGAGTCTAGCCTCCTATAGATGTTGCCAAGTTGAATATTTTACGCGTGATTTGCAGACGTAAACGTGTGATGCGTGGGCAAGCACTGTTGCCAATTCAAAAATATTCACCTAAAGACAGGAAATAAAATCAAAATCCATGTATTTTGGTGTCCTTTCAATGAGAAAGTATAGATAATATCAGTTTAAGGAGAATCTCTGAGGAGGCTCAGCCTTCGTTGCCTCCTCTGAGGAGCCGCCACTGTTCTTGAGTTCTAATTTCTCAATTGGCTGATGATGGAGAAATGTATGTCCCTCAAAGTGAGTATTCACAATAAATTTTCGTGGAGATGATTTGGTGTTCATCATTTCCAATAAGAGATAGACAAAATATTTCTAGGAATATAATACAATATCGTATGGTCTGATGTTTTTTGGAACGTGGGGCTAAATGAATTATGATTTTTTCAGACAAAACATCCTATATTTTGTCTCATATTTCGATTCGTCTTTATCTTTTCTACACAACCATGTCTCATTTGTTGTAATTCTTTTGCGGTGTTTCTAGTTTGATTAGAATTTTTTCGTAAAATTATGACATAATGAGGCCAATAGGTCTGCTGACCGTCGTTTTCAAAATGTTCATAAAAAATTATGCATGAACTCCAATCATACTTCAAATATTGCTTCACTGAAGTCATACTAATTGTGAGCTATCATACAGGATGATTTATAATGAACTGTCAATGTTGACTTTTTCGAATGATCATAACTTTCATTTCAATTGGACTACCATGTATATTTTAGTAGAACTGCATTCCTATGTTAATTCTCAAGTTCTAAGTTTTTATCATTCGAAAAAATCAACTTTGGCAGCTTATTACAAGTCAACCTATAAAATAACTCTCAATTATGGGTTCATTGAAGTTGTCCCACTTGAAGAAATCATAATTCATGTATCCCTACTTTCTAAAAACATCCTGTATCATATACTCACAGGAAAAATTAAATCTTTGGTTTTGTTGAATTCCTCAAATACTTTGAATGTTTTCCTCAAACTTTCTCCGAATTTTACTTCAATATCTCTCAGAAGCAATACAATATCAGCTTTTTTCCTGGTATCATTTTTCGCTACAACTTCTCCAGCAGTGATAATATTGAGCGGTGCCTCTTCGTCAAGATTATAGATTCCTGGGAGTTTCGAAAGGGTTCCATTTTTGCTGAGCACTCGGAACATGGAGGTGTCATAGAATTCGGTCACATCTAAACAAACCTTCGATGAGTGAAATAAATAGTAGGGGGGCAAAGAGGCTAAATAGGGATTTACTCGAGCGTCGTGGGAACGTATCAGATTGTGAAGATTAGATGCGAAAATGAAAAAAAGTTTATATGACTTTTCTCGGGTGGAAAGAACGTGTACAGGTGTTCATAAATGTAAAAAAAAAAAACAGTCACATAGAAATACTCGAGCCCATCAGATATTAATAGTGTATGCGCCCCACGTGTTTCTGATTACCGAAAAATATTAATCTGCCGGTTTGCATGGTGGGGGTGGCCGTATGAAGGGATAGAGAATAGGGGCGTTAAGTGAACCCTCAAATATCCCCTATTCAAAAGACTGACGATTTGGACGCGACCAAAGGTCATGATCAATTTTTGAAAATGAAAAAAAAAAATCGTGACCTTGAAATACTCGAGCGCGTCAGATTATTATACAGACGCTTCATCTTAATTTCCTTTCATCTACCCATAATCTAACAATTATGTAGAGGAATTACCTTAATCTGATGGTTGGATTTTTTTCTCAACTGCATGTAATAACTGAAATATAAAATATACAGGGTGGGTCAGTTTTTTGTAGTAGGACTTCAACAGCTCGAAGAATTCACAATGTTGAGATGGAAGGCTCATGTAGACATACAGGGTGGACCAATAGTGTGGCAAAGGCTTTGCTGTTTGGGATAGGTGATCAAAATTCTTGAGATGGTCTAGTCTAATGAGCAGTACATTTCTGAAATATTTTGCGTTATACGTTATCAAAAATTCGTAGCGTATCAAAGTTATACTTTTTCTTATAGCACACCTTGTATTTTATTGCATTTTCAGATTCATCCTCATGAGCTGATTCCAACGATCTATATCACACTTGAGTTTCAAGAGAAATTATCACAGAGAAATATGGTACAAAAAATCGAGATTTTTCAACTTTCGGAATTTCTTGTATCAAAATAACTCATTATTTGTCGAAACGGCTCACATGTCCCTATCTTAACTTTTGATTCACTATTTACTGACATTTAATTTGAACGAATACAGGGTGGTTCATAGTTCTGAATTGAAGGGGCAAGTGGAAGAAGGAGTTATGTTACAAATATGAGTTTGTGAGAGAAATAGGTTTTAGTAAAGATAGTTGGCATTTTTTAATGAGAGCTAGTTTAATAATTTGATTTATGCAATCGCACATAGCTCCTTCTTCCATTGCGTCCCTGATGTTTAGTGTAGCATAGCCCCTTCTGATACTGTGTATCTACTCAGATATGGAGAATAGAAACAAATCCTGACAGAGCAAGTTACATAATACAGGGTGTTTCACAGATAATGGTACATAGGGGTCACTAAGGTGGTTCTGAAAATACCATATTTGATAGGTCTTAGAGTCTTTATAACGGAGATACAGGGCGATTTATCGATTTCGAATAATTATTCATTCGTCTATAAGTATTGAACTGACCAGTATATTTTTCTAAAATTTGGTATGGAGCTTATACTTGGGACGTTGAATTCATCCACCTATCGGGCGAAGTGAAAATCCAGGTTTTGCTTCAGGAAAAAGTTACATTTATTCGAAATATTAAAATAACACACTGTATGCAATAATTGACAGAGTTCATCAAAGGAATCGTGAAGAGGAGGAAAAACTGAACTGGATTTGATGCTTCTTGTTTTCCCGCCACCAATTCTCATCGTAACAACCATAAACAGAAAGCTAATAGTATGTCAATTTGAAGAGTATTAAAATTATGAAACCACTTTCAATTATGATTATTTGATATATTCTTGTTAAATGATCGTTCGAAAGAACTTACTAAGTCTCACAGTCTTTATATAACAGAGATACAGGGTGAATTATCGGTTTCGAATAATTTTTCACTCGTCCATAAGTATTAAACTACTCATCGCAGTAATATTTTCCCAAATTTGGTATTGAGCTTACTTGGGACGATGGATTCATTGACCTTAAAGGCAGAATGGAAATACAAGTTCAGGTTCAGGAGAAGTCTCATAGTCCTAATAACAGAGATACAGGGTGAATTATCGAATTATAATTATATGGTATTATTTCCATTTCATCTGATAGGTTAATGAATCCATCTTCCCAAGTAAGCTACTTATCAAATTTGAGAAAATGTTACTGGGTAGATTAATACTTATGGACGAGTGAATAATTTTTCAAACCCGATAATTCGCCCTGTATCTCCGTTATAAATACTGTGAGACTTAGTAAGTTCTCTCGAGCGATATTTTGACTAAAATATCGAATAATCATAATTGACACTGGTTTCATAATTTCAATACTCTTCAAATTGACATATACTTTCAACTTTCTGTTTATGATTGTTACGATGAGAATTGGTGGCGGGAAAGCAAAAAGCATCAAACCCAATTCAGTTTTTCCTCCTCTTCACAATTCTTTTGATGTACTGTGTTAGTTATTAAATACAGTGTGTTATTTTAATATTTCGAATAAATGTAAATTTTTCCTGAAGCCGAACCTGGAATTTCACTCCGCCCGATAGGTGAATGAATTTAACGTCCCAAGCATAAGCTCCTTAGCAAATTTGAGAAAAATATACTGGGTAGTTCAATACATATAGACGAATGAATATAATCATTCGAAATCGATAAATCGCCCTGTATCCCCGTTATGATGACTCTGAGACCTATCAAGTATTATATTTTCAGAACCACCTTGGTGACCCCTATGTACCATTGAAATATTTCCCTTTACCTGTGAAACACCCTGTATATGCACGTAACACCTTCTTCCATGACATAACCGAAAATTTTCAGAAAATGTTACTTGACCCCTTCTTCCACTTGCCCCTTCAATTATGAACCACCCATTCATAAAATGTGATAGATCGATGAAATTAGCTCACAAGGGAGAATCTGAAAATGCAATGATAACAATATACGAAGTGATACTTTTTTTTCAGTTTCCTACGTTACCACAATTACACACATAGTTCCCAGTGGCTGCAAGCACCACACTTGATTGAGAATTTTCGCTATATCGGCAGATTATGTTATTTCCGTGATCTGTGACTAATTGCCTTCAAAATAAGAACAAAATTAACCGCACTCGAGACTGTACAGGTGACGATTTGTTTTGCAACATTGTGGCTTTCCCATTTCCTTATGTCATGCTCAAATCTTCAGATTATTGAAATGCCCACTTTTCTGCATGTAATTAACGTACCATGTCTTAATCTGAGTATTTCTGACGATCGATTTTTTTACTAATCTGATCGGCTGGCCTAAACTTTCGACACCATATAAAGGGCCCAGGTATGGTGGGAGTGCTTACTGCTTACACTTACACTTACACAAGGTCCACAAATACCCCCCTTATGTTAATATGCCGCGTTCGAGTAAATCCCGAAATACCCTCTTGAGCTTCCCAACTAGAAGAGACAATGAATATTTACCATTTACAGTTATTATAGCATATGTTGCATTTGTCTCCAGGAGACAACGCAGAGCTCCATCACTTGTATAGTACTTGTTATCTTGATCAGCATTACAATACTTGGCGGCTGAAAAAAATTGGGTTATTTTATGTTGAATCAGAAATAGTTCTACTCTGTCGAAGGATCAGATATATTTGAATACGTTTTCTAAGTCAATATAAAAATAGAAATAGGATACCCCTCTATCACTTCTCAATATGTAGTACAAGAAATTTGGATATTCAATGGTATATCTGATTTCATATTCATTGATCACACCTCGTATATCAATTTCGATAACAGAATTGAATTCCATAGAAGTTTTTATGTCCCCCATGTACAATTTGTTGATGACATACGATTTTTTATAGGGTGTGTATGAATAATTGGGAAAAAGTAGGTCATTCCTTGTTATATTTCAGGAAATACAGTTCATATAAAGATGTGTCCCAACTTCATTCATTTACGAGAAACATGATGTGAAATTGGAAGTATCAATTGTTTTCTTAAGCTCCCCCCATCTATAAGGATTCATTACAACATAATTGTCTCAAAATTTCAAAATGATGGTTTATTCATTTATTTATAAATTTGAGGCCACCCAACAGACAATTATTGTTTCACTGCCCAATAATAGAGTGACACATCATTATAATATATCGGGTGGTCACAAAAAAACCGGAAGTTTTTATTTTCCTCGTGGTTTCATCATTTCTCAACCGAATTCTAATTTCTTGGCGTCGTTTCATAGCTAAAGGGATACAGTATACAGTGGAATATTTGAAAATTTCATAATGAACAAAAACAAAATGGCGGATTCTACCAAAGTATTGTCATTTACAAAAACCGCTGGAGAAATAGAAAATCAGATTTTTTCCAACCTGTACCTTAGGCTATTCATTTCTGAAGAGAATGAGTACTCGAACATCGAAATCGAACAAATAGTCTAGTAGATACACTCACTTTGCAATTTGTTATGGAGTGAATGTGCTAATCTCGTATAAACGATTATTATTATTTTACTTCAGGCTTCACGAAAATTCAATGGAATTTGGATTTCTGAGAGTTATTTTAAAGATAAAGAACTGTAGTACACAATGGAACATTTGAAAATCCAATAATTGAAAGAAACAAAATGGTGGAGAATCCAGAATTTTTGTGATTCTCAAAAATCTCAGGCGAATAAAAAAATGTGTGTTCTTCCAATCAGGTTCGATACAATTTAAGATCATTGATTTTTAAAAAGAATGAGCACTCGAACATCTGAATCGAACAATTAGTCCAGGAGAAACACGTTCTTTTTGGCAAAGTGTTATGGAGTGAATGTGCCAATCCCGTGATAAGAATTACTTTTAGTTCGCTTCTGGCTTCCTCAGAATTCAATCGAGTTTGGATTTCTTAATGCCATTCCAAAGCTGAATACAGTGGAACATCTGAAAATTTCTTAATTGAAAAAAAAAAAAAGAAATGGTGGAGTAACCCTAACTTTCGTGATTTACAAAAACCGCTAGCGAATAGAAAAATGTTGATATTGACATCGAGATGTAAGTCCAGGAAGATTGCGTGAAACCCTGAAAATATATAAAACTTAATTCTAGTTGTAGTCAAAACAAAACGAATTTTGAAATGATCTGAATGTGTCCCCCTTTTGCTTCAACTACGGAACTGAGTCAGCTCTGTATCGACCGGGCTATTTCTAACTGAAGCATTGCATTTTCCACGCATATTCACTCCATAACAAATTGCAAAGAAATGATTGTATCTACTGGACTATTTGTTCGATTTCGATGTTCGAGTACTCATTCTCTTCAGAAATGAATAGCCAAAGATGACATCGGTACAGGTTGGAAGAAATCTGATTTTCTTTTTCTCCAGCGGTTTTTGTAAATTACGATACTTTGGTAGAATCCGCCATTTTGTTTTTGCCCATTATGAAAATTTCGAATATTCCACTGTATACTATAGCCCTTCAGCTATGTAACGACGCCAAGAAATTCGAATTCGGTTGAGAAATGATGAAACCACGAGGAAAATAAAAACGTTTTTTTTTGTGACCACCCGATACAATGAATAATATAGCTGAATATAGTACTGGGTATGTTTTCTAGTTATATAATGCTTAAGATAAGCATTTGTGCTTAGTAACTAATAGTACAAGGCTTGACAATATTATTATTATTTGGCAATGTATTCTGTATTTGACTAATTAAGAAGAACTAAGATCAATCGGCATTAAAGAAAGAAACACTATTCAGTATTCATTCATACGAATCGGTGAATGGATTTCTGCGTGGCATTAGCCAGGAAAGTAGTTGTTTTTCTCCCGTCTCCTACTTTTCTTGTTCATTTTAACAATATTTGTGCAGAGATATTTATATTTTTTTCATGTTCTGGTTCCCACGAAAAGGGATATCCTGTAATGTTCAGGGAACATCGTGAGAACCAAGGGAAATAAGGTAGGAATTGGTGTTCTTCTTAAATTTTTGGAGGTTATATGCCTCGGGGAACACCTCCCTTGGCAATGTGTTCCAGAGTTTTGGTTTTCAATTAACATTTCATTCCATTTTGACCATTTTGGCTATTTCGGGTACTTGATAAAAGTGGATCTGAGATAGGATTTTTTTTTATTTTTTATAAAAGTTCCAAATTTGAATCATTTTCCACATGCAGGGGAGGGGACTTTCAAGGAAAGATGAATAAGTAATCTGGAAACCAAATTTTTGTGTCGTATTCTGATTCACTCTGTATGTATACTCACTTAGCCTATTAGATTCTGGAATGCAATGAGCGCACAATTTATTACGAATGTTTTCCTCGATTTTGTAGTCTTCAGATATGGCACCAGGAACGCAACTGTCACCAACAAAATCGCTGAATAATTTTTCATAATTGAAACCTCTCGGCATAATTCCTTTACTCCTCATGAAATCGATGAATACAAGCCACTCTGAAAACGTGAAAAATTAGTAATTTCATCGATACTCAAATATTGAAAATAAAGAATCTAACGTGTTTTCCGGAAGTGTCGTTATCTTTGTTACTTTCAATAGAACGCCCTCGGCTATGAACTATCAGCCGCGGCAGTCAAAATCTACTACTTTGCTGCTTAGTAAAACAAATAAATACTTTCTCCAAGCGGCCTAGAAAGTGGCTTTTCTCTGACACTTAATAGGCATCAAAGATGTACTTTCTCTGCCTAGGCAGGAAATTTACGTAACAAGTCCGGAAAATACTGTATTTTTTGACGAGTAGACCAAATTCTAGGCCGAGCCGTAGGCGAGTCCTCGAAGTCTGCGAGTCCAAAAAAACTGTTTTTGGACGTGCTGCGTACACTATTTTTTCGGCAACCATGTAAAATAACGAATCAATGAGACACATTTCCATATTATATTTATTCGTAGAATACAATTTCTCCTTTATAAATTCTCATTTAATGTATCATACACTGAAATTTGAACAGAGTACCTATACCTACTAACTGTTACATTGGAATGGGCTTGTATCACAGAACATTTTTATTTCATAATTCGATAGAACTCACCCAAACTAGCTCACCACCGCAAACCGTTTCTTGCTGTGAGCTCCCTACGTTTTATAAAAAATTATTGAAATCCACGATTTTTCGGACCTCTGAAAACGAGGCGATGATGTGACGTCAAAACCCTAATACTGAAACAAGACTATTCCAGACAGAGATGAATGATACATGATTTCTGACAGAGTGAATTAGCTCGAGATCACAGTTGAAGTTGAAGTTGCCTCAGTCTCCGTCGGGCTTTTGGTATTTTCTTTTAACTATGGCGAGATGAGGTTTCTACGTCATAAGAGGGTCCGATTTCAGAAGGTACTATTATTAATGTCCAAAAATAAAACATTCCAGTTAATTTTTCGATCGAATTATGTCGTCAATCATTATTTATGTATAAAAGGATCATCATAAACATGGTTTGAGTTGAAAGTTCTACTAAGGTGTACACGCCCATTGTCTTATGGACATTTTCAAACCCACTATCGCAGCTGCTTTCGATAGTTTATTGCGATAATTGTAACCAAATTTTCAAAAATCAAAATGTCAACTAATTTCATGTCAAATAGCTGTCAGCCGATATTTCGCTGCTTGCTGCTATGGCAATTATCATCTGCATTTATTAAAACCATATCTATCAAGATTTTCGTAGTTACAGTGATAACAACTATGTGATACTTCCTGGCCTAGTCCGCTAAGAACGTACTTCCCGGACTGGGCCGGAAAAATGCTACTTTCTCAAAGAAAAAGTGTCCGGAAAGTGAGCACCTTGCGGAGGGTTGCCGAAAATATATGTTGCTTTGCAACATTCCAAGTGATTTTAATGAAATTGGTAATAAAAATTGACACTGACATTGGGTGAACACAAAATGATGAAATTTTCAATAAAAAAATCACACAACATCAGTTTTATAACATTTGGAGAAGAAATTATATGTTTCACACGGCAGCAAATGTAGATTGACTGCCTTTGCTGAATTCCTAGCATTGTACGCTCGGATATGAACTATCAGCTGCGGAAGTCAATCTATCTATACAAAAAACTATCCCTCTAAAAATAGACGAGTTTTCACCCGGAAATTAGTACTTAAAATGTATTTCTTTTTCGACGATCTCTACAAAAAAATCACATTTTACGTTCTAATTTTCGACGAAAAACCGACTATTACTGAAACATTTCATAACCCACTGAACAATATTTTAACACTTATTCATCATTATTATTACCTATATTATTATTAATCTTGAGTTAATCACAAACACTTATGAATTGCATGATATTTCGGTACGCTCTGTTTAAATTAATTTTACAAAATAAGTAACAAATTCACATATAGGTACTGATGATATGTATTAATCAAAAAAGCACAATACTCAACATGATTCATATCAAATTCAATTTTTTATATACCTCTGTTATAACAGAGTTTGTTTCTTAAGTTTAATTTTTTTATTTTTTGTTGTTAATTTTTACTATTTGTTCCTGTTTTAACCCTTTCTGTCCCAAAGCAGGGCCTACTACATCTCACCGGGCCGTCGTCTATCCCCTCTCTTTCGACGCTGACGTCACACTAGTAGGTTGAGATTTCACATCAATCCGTACTGGTGCGTTCGTAATTGATAGGCTATAGATCATTTACTATGAATTTTAGAAGCACACTCAATCGAGACGAAATGATCCCCAACGAATTCCCCAACTTTTGGTGAAAAAATGAATCCAATAGGATGAATCAATACCGAGTTATGGCGTTGTAACAAAATTCCATTTTATTGAAAATCAGGACGTTGTACTACAGAATACTATTTTTTGCAAATTTGGAATTGGAATGAGATGAAACCAACTCAATATATCAAACTACGATAATGAATCAATTGAATAGTGAAAAAATTGTAGAGTTACCTACAATGAGTCCAAAAGAAATTAAATATAAAGAGCGCGTAAAAAATGGGCCATTATACCTACCTATACCCAAATTTCGCTGTATTACGATTTCGCGGTAATTCCTTGGACTGGTAAAGGGCGATATACTTTTTATAACTCATTTTATTTCTAAATGGCATATGGTTCAGACCAACTAATATTGGTGTCTGAAAAATTCGAAACAATATTTCTACAATGTAAGTCACAACATAAAGTTTTGGAGAATTTAGCAGAAATTAAAATCAATTCCCTTCTCAATTATTCCGAAAATCAATGTTGCAGTTGTGGTTCTTTTGATGGAATCAGCAGAACATTCTCTAAAACCATTTCAAATATTCTGTTGAACAATTATTGCAAAATAAAAAAAAATTTAAAAAGAAAAATCACTAAACTTTCAGGATGAGATATAGTTCAGATTTCAATTTTTAGTTTGTGATTTAGATGATGTATATATATTTTTTGTTATTAGTGTATTTCATTTTGTGATATCTATCAATTTTTATTTTATTTTGTTATGTTGATCATTTTTACAGTTTATTTTGTTTGGTTTTGTTTGTGTATAAGGATTCAACGTTTTTTTTTTCATTTTTTCCTTATTCATTCATATATCGTTGTTCTGGGTATTTTGTTATTCAGTTCGTTATATTCATTTTTATATTTCTCATTGTTGAAATACATATTTTTTCAATTATTTTTGTTAGGTTGTGTTCATATGAACTCCACATATTTTGTTCTTTTTAATTTTGATAGTTTGCAAATATATCCAAATCAAATTTTTTTCATAAATTTAGCGTTATCATTCAAATATATACCCTTCAGCAGAAAATAATTAATACCGAATAGGCGTTATTGTGTAATAACACACTCGAGTGATAGGATGTCTAACGTCATCAGAGTGCGCCCTGATCATCTTTAGAGATAAACGCTGCTAAAACCCTTCGAGATAAAGTGGATGTGCATTATACCGATTTGTAGGCAATCAAATTTCCTATAAAAAAGTCAGTGACAGCATATATCCATAGTTGATAGGATTCATGGGAGGCGTCCGAACTTTTTGAACTATTCTGTAATGAACACCTGAATCATCGTTCTACTTGAATTGAATTATGGGTTTGTTGTTGGCTATTGGGAATTTGAAAAAAAACTCAGTCAATCTAGATACTATGCGAAATCTTTTCATGATTGAATCATTTCTGTGAATTGGATATTGGAATTTTGGTAGCTGTTTAAAAAAGGACAATTGCTATATTGTAGCACTAGTGGCAACCCAACCCAAAAGACCAGACAAAAAGAAACGAATTGAGATACATGTGTACAAGATGCGGAGTCGGCACAAAAGAAAACTTTTAATGTTCATTTTATACCTACATTTTTTTCTTTTAGTTACATTTTTTCAAGTTGGTTTTTCTCTCTGATGAGTACTTGTGGAAAGAAAACGTTCAAGTTTGTTGAAAAATATATATATTTCTCATTAACATAACAAAAAATAAACATTCTTCGTTCATTGATCTGTTTCTTTTTATATGCGACGTAGATATATATAAGGCAATGGGACTCTAAGCATGAAAAAACCTCTGGGACTTGGGGACCAACATGTAAATTAAGGCCCGGGACAGAAAGGGTCAAATATACTCAAGTAACAGTATTTTGTGATATATGTGAGTATTTTGAAATTGAGAATTAGGAATATGATTATTTTTTTATAAGAATGTTTGTTTTGTTAGTTTCTATTTTGTTGGGAATAGGTTACTTTTCTGTTTGCTAAAAGTTATTTAATGATGAAATGAAAATCGAACTGGTAACCCCCAGTCCGTGCGGAGAGTTAACAACAACTGTCATCTGCTGTTGTGAAATTAATTATTCACGAAATCCGATAGATTTCACGTGTGATTCGTGTGAATAGGACCGTGATGTGGATAAGTGTTTATCCATTTTTTCATGTTCTTAATTTATCTGAGAATATTCATTTCCAATCCATTTCTTTATCATTCAACTCCTATAGGTACTAATAGTTTCAAACATTAAACATAATATTACCTTTTCCACCATATTCTGGCAAACAAGCAGATTTCCCTCTTAGGTCTTTGAAACTTTTAACGTCAGTAGTATCATTTCGTAGTACAATCACTATTGCCGAAAGCTGTCTATTGTCAGTTTCAGGATAAGCTACTACTGAGAGTCCTTTCCTAAAAACATAATTTTATTTTACGTACGTAATGAAATGAACTAATTGTTTCCATAAATATAAGTCTCAAGAACGCTTTGTTCTTCATCTAGAAAATAATATATTTGTTTTGATAATGAAACATGTACCTTTGTCGATAAAACATAATGAGAAAATTATGGCGATATGACAAAATGAAACAGGACTCATGCTCATTATATTGTATTATTTACGTGTAAGAAAAGAACTGAAAAGTTTCTGAATATTGTATAAATAAGTGTGAAGAGATGATTTTCTACCCTATAAATATCTGAGAACTTGAATAATTTCTATTTTTTCTGTTATACCAATTAGGAATCTTATTGTACTGAGTTATATCACACTATTTTTGATTGAATCAACGAATGCCATAAACGGTCGAATAACGAAATGAATCATGTAGTCACAAATTTTTAAAGGTGGTAGAGGAAAGTGCTATGAACTAGGGTCCCTTGATGTCTTCTCACTCTAAAGTGTTTGTGAAACAGTTATATAGTTCTATCCTTATTCAATTCTGGCGATAAACACTAGATTTTTGACATTCGTTGATTTTTAGGTTATATTGAGGTCACTGGCGTATCATAAGTAATTTCCATATGGAATTCCTGATTCAACTATACCAAGATATAAATGAACAATCCTCTAGTTTTAGATATTACTACTCCAGCATAATCTTCGCGAGGTAGGGAACATACATAAATTGTACTGAAAGCTTTATATATTTCACCAAAAGAGACTGTTCTCAGACTGTATACCAGGGTTGACTGAGTTACTAGAGTATCAGTTATAAAAACCAATGTCTTTCGCCATATTGGATCCGTCATCTTGAATTTTCAAATTTTGACGAAACAATCATTATCTCCTATCCCGAAATCCCCCAGATACCAATTTTGATAGAATCGGAGAGGCATATGCCCTACCATTTAAAAAATTATACCTACGTTCAGTGTTCGTGAGAAACTGCAAAAATGTTTCCCAACTGAATATATTATACAGCACACATGGCATATGAGCACATTAGTTTGAATACCTACATACAATTGTTCACCATTTATCAACCATAAGGCTCAGTCTGAAATCAAAATTCATTTATTGATAGGTACTTCCTAAGAACAGTCTCATCTGGTAAAACGTATTGAACTTTCAGAAAAATTTGCTCACTGCCTCACAGAGGCATCATCATTTGGATATAATATGTAGAGTTGAATGATAAATTACATGTGGAAATTACGTATGATACAAAACATAAAAAAATATAAATATAACCTAAAAAACAACAAATGTCAGAAATCTAGTGTTTATCCCCAGAAATGAATAAGGATGGAACTATATAACTGTTTCACAAACACTTCAGAGTGAGAGGAGACCATATACGTATTAATAAACAATACGGATCATAACGGGTGCCAGGATGAAGCCAAAAATATGAAACGAATGAATATCCATAAGGATTTGGTGGCATGATACGCATGCGCCATGCGCTATTATAGTAGTCATCAAAGACATGCTTTTCGGTGGACAATGACGTTTACTAGCCTTTCAATCAAAGCAGTATGTGTCTGATCGTTTCAAAACTTTTCCTTATGGATAGTCATTTGTCTTAAAAAATCGGCTTCATGTTTCGCTATGGAAACAGATAGCGATTATCCGTATTGATTATTAATACGTATACGTTCAAATTGATGTTTATTTTCCCTCACACACTTTCTCAATATACGTCTTATGCATCCAAAATCATTAAAATATGTATTTGTAATTTCTGTAAAACTGCGTCTGTTGTTGCACGAAGTTCTTCAAGATTGTTATGTCTCTTACTGTATTAAGACGTATCAAGAAAGTGTGTCAATTGTGTGTTAGGAAAAATGGACATCAAATTGTAGAAGTTAATGAATAATGAGTTACTTAATAATTTCGAAATTCAATTGTTTTAGTGAATATTTAATCAGGTGCTTATTCTACATTATGAACTTTCTATTACTATTTATTTGTTGCTTTCAGGTAACTTTCCTGTTTTACTAGTTAATTAGTGTTGACATTGTTTTTTTCATGTTCATGAAAAAATCGATAGAAATATTCCTTCAATTATAACTTTTTTTATATGAAAAATTCATAGCCCACTAATAAAATTCAATGTTTTAGTGATTTTTGAAAATGGTATATACATACATTATATATTATTTTGAAGGGAAAACATACGGAATTTTATGAGCTTATAAAATGCAGGGTGTTCCATTTGAAAAATTATAAGTTCGAGTCGTATCTGCAAATCGGTACCCCGAAACAAAAATTGAGTGCGCCACTGGATTCTGCGTAAAATTCTCTATGGGATAAGATTTTAAGTTGAGATTTTTGCTAAGAAACTTCGTAGATATATAGAGGGGGTTCAAAAAGTATAAATTTACAAAATCTTCCTGTATCTCATAAACAGAATGTCGGATAGAACAATTTTAGTTATGCAAAATCTGACCGCAAAAACCGCAAGGTTCTATCCCCAAAGATACCTGATATATCACGCAAAGAATCGAAAACTGGACACACTGTACACAAAAATGTACTCACTGCAAAGCTATGTATCCATAGTTGACATCAGTAAAAACTATGTCTGCTTCCTCAGACTGGATGGTACTCAGGCAAGAGATGGTGTTATTTTCAGAGGTTTGCACGCACTCTATGACAGGTTGGAGTCCTGCGTTAAGGGTTGCTTGTCGCAACCAGCGACATTTTTGTTGTTCGTTTTCGTTCATAGTGCACCATTTTACTGTTGTGTTGCATTGGATGTTATCGGTAACGTCGGGTATAGATCTGCGACCTGATTGAAACATCTCTTGTTATTGTTAATTGTTTGCGTTAAAGATTTTTCAGTTTGCCGTATTTATAATAATCCAAAATCAAACTGTATCATAATACGTCCTTTCCTTGCAAAAAATCCAGCAGGTATAATTCATGCAAAGTCAGTTGGAAAAAACGCAAGCCGTCGGTCCCTTTGAAACTTCAAAGAGTGCGGCAGCGCGGCTCGACATTCTGTTCAACTGACTTTGCATAAACTTTAATTACCTAGATAGCACAATATCATTCTTAGAACGTCCATAGGATATTCTTACAGATTACAGATTATTTGAATAATCTCAGAATATTCTCACAATGTGATAAAAATATTCTAGGGGCGTTCTATGAACATTCGGAATGGACTGTTTTAAATATTCTGAGAATATTTCTAGTATATTGAACGAGGCAAAATATTAAAAAAAAGCTTGCTCCGGTGGAGATGCGAACCTACTATCTTGTGATTGAATTTTTTCGAACCTGTATTAAAGTCGTATATTCTTTTCCACATTTTTTTTACAACACATAGGTACATCCACATTATACAGGGTGTAGATAGGGGTCACCAAGGTGGTTCTGAAAATACCATATTTGATAGGTCTTAGAGTCTTCATACCGGAGATACAGGGCGATTTATCGATTTCGAATAATTATTCATTCGTCTATATGTATTGACCTACCCAGTATATTTTCCTTGAAATTAGTAAGGAAATTATACTTGGGACGTTAAATTCATTCACCTATCGGGCGGTGTGAAAATCCAGGTACGGCTTCAGAAAAAATTCACATCTATTCGAAATATTAAAATAACACACTGTATTTGATAATTAAATTAATCAAAAGAATTGTGAAGAGGAGGAAAAACTCAATTGGGTTTGATGCTTTTTGTTTCCCTGCCACCAATTCTCATCGTAACAATCATAAACAGAAAGTTGAAAGTATGTCAATTTGAAGAGTTTTGAAATTATGAAACCAGTGTCAATTATGATTATTCGATATTTTAGTCAAAAAATCGCTCGCAAGAGCTTACTAAGTCTCGCACAGTCTCTATAACGGAGATACAGGGTGCATTATCGGTTTTGAATAATTATTCACTCGTCCATGAGTATTAAACTACCCAGTAACATTTTCTCGGTATTTATGTAGCTTACTTGGGAAGATGGATTCATTAACCTATCAGGCGGAATGGAAATAACACCAAATAATTATAATTCGATAATTCACCCTGTATCTCTGTTATAAGGACTATGAGACTTTTCCTGAAGCTGAACCTGCATTTACATTCTGCCTGATAGGTCAATGAATCGAGAAAATATTACTGCGATGGGTAGTTTTGTAGTTTAATACTTGTGGACGAGTGAATAATCATTCGAAACCGATAATTCACCCTGTATCTCTATCATAAAGACTGTGAGACGTAGTAAGTTCTTTCGAACAATCATTTAACAAGAATATATCAAATAATCATAATTGAAAGTGGTTTCATAATTTTAATACTCTTCAAATTGACATACTTTTAGCTTTCTGTTTATGATTGTTACGATGAGAATTGGTGTCGGGAAAACAAAAAGCATCAAATCTAGTTCAGTTTTTCCTCCTCTTCACGATTCCTTCGATGAACTCTTGTCAATTATTACATACAGTGTGTTATTTTGATATTTCGAATAAATGTAAATTTTTCCTGAAGCCGAACCTGGATTTTCACTTCATCCGATTGATGAATGAATTCAACGTCCCAAGTATAAGCTCCATACCAAATTTTAGAAAAATATACTGGGTAGTTCAATACTTATAGACGAATGAATAATTATTCGAAATCGATAAATCGCCCTGTATCTCCGTTATGAAGACTCTAAGACCTATCAAATATGGTATTTTCAGAACCACCTTGGTGACCCCTATGTACCATTGAAATATTTCCCTTCATCTGTGAAACACCCTGTATATAAAAGAAATATGTACAACAATTAAAAACTGTATAAATGAAATCCTCCGAGCGAGACAGAGGTAGCTGGTGTTGGACAAGGAATGTGGGTGCATATGCGAAGTGTTCGTCGCAGAAGCCTATCTCGTATTGGTAAGCCCTTTATATAGGTATAGTTTATGCAAAGTCAGTTGAACAGATCATCAAACGAATGTCGGGTCGCGCTGCCGCACTCTTTGAACTATCAGAGGGACCGACGGCTTGCGGTGTTTTTCCAACTGATTTTGCATAAACTATAATTCCACTGAAGCTAACCAATGATGGGCGAGGGAGTTGTTCAGACGCTCTCAGTGGTGGGTGTTGTGTGTTTTGAAGAAAAAATGAAATTTTGAAAACAAAAACCTCCTTCTCGTTTATTACGAATCTGAAACCTTACTACTTCGCCACTAACCTTATTGATGATAAACATTATAAATATTGATGAAAGAATAGGAACATAATTATCATATATTTTGATACGATTCTCAATATTCTCAGAATATTCGAAAAAAATATTCTCAGAATATTTTGAAAATATGTCAAATCTGTCAAATAGAATGTTCATAGTTTATTGTTTTCAGAATGAGAATATTCTATGATCATTCTGAAAACATTCTATAGGATATTCTGTGCTGTCTGGGTAGTTTTAATATCGGGACCTATGTTTTTTGAGACGATGAATTCGAATATGGAGTTATCCAACAATATTTTCTGGTACTTTTTGAGATATTCGCAAAAAATAGCGACATTTTCGCACTTTTTTGGTTCCCGCTTCAAAACTCCGAAACATATGCGTGTTAGAGGAAAAGCAAATCATATATTATTTGAAGAATATATACAGGGTGTTTCATTACTAATTGGAAATATTTCAATCATAGTATCCCGAACTCAAAATATGAAGATTCAACCCAAATCACTTAGATAAAATATGTCTCCTGTCTGAGTTGAAGGGTGCTTTATTAAAAAATTTTGAAATGTTTTTTGCCCAGTTCTTCAAAACTATTTGACGTATCACTTTCATATTTGGAGGGAAGTGTAGGTATTATACATCCAACTGAATTATGTGAAATGAACTTTTCTAGCTATTACCAGAGGCGTACGACAGGAGCAAGTGACTGGTTGATCCTTTCCAAATACTACGTCACTGGCGGAATTGCAATTTTATCAGAATTTTTCGATTCCTCAAAACTATTTGACGTATCACTTTCATATTTGGAGGGAAGTGTAGGTATTATACATCCAACTGAATTATGTGAAATGAACTTTTCTAGCTATTACCAGAGGCGTACGACAGGAGCAAGTGACTGGTTGATCCTCTCCAAATTCTACGTCACTGGCGGAATTGCAATTTTATCAGACTTTTTCGATTCTTCAATACCTTCTTCGTAAATATTATTGTCCTTCTTCATAGCGATATAGTCATTATTTTTCGAGATATTTCAAGCTAAACATGAAGCAGCACAATTATTTTGATTTTAATGTGTATCAATAATGTCGATATTTTGGATCAATGGACTGCATTCATCAATCAAATGAAACTTCAATCCATATTAACATAAAAACATAACAGACGGGAGCTGTTACAGGGCGTTTTAATTTTTTTAATATACATATTACCTACATAATTATGTTATAATGTTTTTATTGTTAATATGGATTGAAGTTTCATTTTACTGATGAATACAATCCAATGATCCAAAATATTGACAAAATTAATGCACATATTGAAATCAAAATGATTCTGCATATTTATGTTCAACTTGAAATATCTCGAAAAATAATGCATTTATCGCCATGGAGAAAGAGTACAATATCTACGTCAAAATTGTTGGAGAATCGAAAATTTGTGATTGAATTACAATTCCGCCAGTGGCGTAGAATTTGGGAGGGATCAACCAGTTAATTGCCCCTGTCGTACGCCTCTGGTAATAGCTAGACAAGTTCATTTCACATAATTCAGCTGTGTGTATATTACCAACACTTCCCTCCAAATATGAAAGTGATACGTCCAATAGTTTTAAACAACTGGGCAAAAAACATTTCAAATTTTTTTAATAAAACACCCTGTAACTCAGACAGGAGACATATTTTATCTAGGTGATCTGGGTTAAATCTTCATATTTTGAGTTCGGGATTCTATGGTTGAAATATTTCCAATTAGTAATGAAACACCCTGTACATATACCGGGTGTACCACTAAGAAAGGACGCCGGCTGTATCTCGGAAACTATTTGCCGCACAGGTTTCGAAAAAAAATATTCATGATAGAAGTGGCCAAGAAAAATCACGGGAAAATATTTTCAAGTTTCCAGGACAGCCGCTAGAGGGCATAATTGCATTGGCCGACTTGAAAAATGGGTTTTTTTGAAAATTTGATATATCGAGACATATCAGAAACACTTCTTCCATGTTCTCGAGTTGATTTCCAATCATTTCGATAGAAAAAAATTGCACTAGCTCTTTATTCAATAGTTCACCCCTGTTGAATTTGTTTTCTTAGTAAGTAATAATATATGTATTTGCTATCAACTCTTTCAAGTTAATCCGGTATACCGTATTTTAATATGTAGATATTGTGTCTAATTTCCGAAAATGGAGGTTTATAGTACCTGACCACAGGTAACTAATTCTTCAGGTTGGGAAAGTAGGATATACAGAGTGGGCCTTTGAAAACGAAACAGAGGCTCTGTAGGTCGCCAAAACCGGATTATGAAAAGAATCTGAAACACGTCATCTACATTTTCGAGGGGGACATCGTCCTACAATATTTTCAGCCCTGCGGCGTTGCCGCTGCTAACGAAAAGAAGCAACAACTTTGTTATTTCAAATGGAACACCTTGTATTTTATTGCATTTTTAGATTCTCCTCGAAAATCTGATTTCATCAATGCATCACACTTGGGGTCTAGCTGTAATGGTTTCAGGGATATAAAGTGTTCAAAATCGAGATTTTTCAACTTTAACATTTTTTTGTGTCGAAACTAATCATTATTGGTCAAAACGACTCCCATGTCCCTATCTCAACTTGTGATTCACTATCTACTAACATTTAATTGGAACAGATACAGGGTGATCAGAATTCTGAATCTTGAACCACCCTGTATTTGTTTCAAATAAATGTCAGTAGATAGTAAATCACAAGTTGAGATAGAGACATGAGAGCCGTTTTGACCAATAATGAATAGTTTCGACAAAATTCTATAGTTGAAAAATCTCGATTTTGAACACTTTATATCCCTGAAACCATTACAGCTAGACCCCAAGTGTGATGCATTGATGAATTCAGCTCTTCGGAGAGAATCTAAGAATGCAATAAAATACAAGGTGTTCCATTTGAAATAACAAAGTTGTTGCTTCTTTTCTTTAGAAGCGGCAACGTCGCAGGGCTGAAAATATTTTAGAAAGATGTCCCCCTCGAAAATGTAGTTGACCTGTTTCAGTTTTTTTTGATAATCCGGTTTTGGCGACCTACAGAGCCTCTGTTTCGTTTTCAAAGGCCCACTCTTTATAAAAGTCATGCCAGCCAACGTTAGTTTAGTTCATTGTACCAGTATATCACCTGACGAAGCTACTGTCAGAGACACATGTCGTGTGTTTGAGAATTTTGTGGAAATCTTATCGTTTGTGAAGTTTAACATTTAAATATCAATTCAAATAAAAATTGATCACTTTCTAAAACGTTATAACATATAATCTCATTCAGCAATGAGGAATGAAAACTGAAAAATAATGGATAAATGTCCTCGATGAAACCGTATTTACTGTTGAATTTACTTGCGTTTTTAATCTTGAATTGAGATAAAATACCTAGGTATACTTACTTTCTACATATGTTTTCAACGATGACGTAGTACCGTGAAGAATTATCTCATCGCTTCGTTCTATCTCCAAAACTTTCCTCAGAGAGTCCCCTAGTTCTATACTCTGTAATTGCAGGTCTCCAACACTTTGAGATGCCAAATGATTTGTTAGAAAACTCCGAGCGGTTCCTTCATACTCCCTATAATAAATTATTATTATTATCAGTATCCCCAGAGTTACGGTCGATGTTCCTCGAATATTTTAGGGATTCCCTTTCGTGCGCTCCAAGAGATAGAAAGAGTCCAGAAACCTCATGCAAAGGAAGCACCAAGTGGAGAAATTAGGAGAAGGTCTATATTATTTGGTCTGTATTCTGTATAGTAAAAACCATCTGGAACAATTCCACCACCTCATTTCCACCACTGACTAACGAAATGCATCTACTGTTATACCGTTTATACGTCAGAACGACCTATGAAGGACGAAATAACAGAAATTCCCCTAGTGTATACAGGGTGTCCGTTTTCGAGCTCCACCATGGGGATCTCAGTTATTATAAGAGATACGAGGTCGGTTCGGGTAATTACGGGAGAGATGGACCACCGCCTGAGATGGACCAGCATCCTATTTTCTAATATGAATGTGTAAGGAGAGGAATACAAATATAGTGAAGTAGCCAAATGATTGCCAGTTGAGGTCGAATAGTTGCAGTGTGCATGTATGACTTTCCAAACTGAGAATATTCGATTGTGTATTTACACGTGGTGGAAAATTTTCTAACCCAAATTTGATGTTCTGATTCTGACCTAATGTTAGTATTAAAATTCGATTTCTCGATACAAATTCAGAGCTGATTATTTCGTTTTTCATATTCATATTCTGGAAATGCCTCTCTACTGTTATATATTTCATTTCGGAGTGGTCCATCTACCCCTTAAGTTCGGGATAGATGGACCATCAAATCGGGGTATCATTTCAGAATGCCTACAAAATATAAAAGGAAATTGCGATCGAAAAGGGCTTCCTGGACCGAAGAAGACTTGAAGAATGCCATAGAAGCCATAGATTGTATAATATAATAGGGGGTGAAAGATGCAGCAAGACACTTCAATGTATCAAAAGCTATGTTACTGAGAAGAAAGGAATCTGGCAAAATAGAAAAACTGGGTCATTGGGTCCGTGTTCCACGCTAGGAGATAAAAATGAGGCGAAAAAGCTACAGAAATTTGGGTTCGCCCCAACACGGAAGGATGTGCGGTATACGGTATTTGCTCTTGCTGAACAATTGAAGTTGAAGCACCATTTTGGGACAATCAATTAAATGGCAGGATATGCCTGGTTACACCTTTTTCTGAGCCGTCATCAAGATCTGAGCATATGAATTGCAGAAGGTGTTCCACTGCATTATGTCGAGACACAGTGAATAATTTTCTTCTTCTTCTTCTTCTCTGCACAGGTGGGCGGGTGCGTAGACCCCTGCACTCAGGCCTCTTCAGTCGGGCCCATTGTGCGCCCACTTGTCCTGTGAATCAGCTGGGCATGCCGATTTCTATTTCTTTGACGAAATTCAGCAGCTTTCTCAGCTGAGTCACTTTCACATTCTTTGGGTGCAGTACAATGCTCCCAAAGGCAGCTTTCCTCTGATGCACCAGCGCGGGGCATTCAGTGAGTATGTGTGATGATGTTTCATCATCCTCCAAGCACCATCTGCAGATGGGATCATCTTTGATCCCTATGAGTTCTAGGTGCCTGTTGAGGTGGTTGTGCCCAGTTAAGAGCCCAACTACCATCTTGAGATCCCTTCTATTAAGTGACAGGATCTCTCTAGTGAGCCTTTTTGAAGGTTCCTTTATATGGAGCTTTGATTGTCTCATTCCTGGTGTGTCCCGCCATGTTTCAAGGAACTGCCTCTGTAGCATTTCCTTCATGAAGGACATAGCCGTACTATTGGGTATTCCCAATATCGGTTCTGGTCCAATGGATGTCGTTCCTGAACCGATCTTGGCTAGTCTGTCTGCCTCCTCGTTCCCCGGGATACCAGAGTGTCCTGGAACCCACATGAGGCTGACTTTCCTAGTTTTTGCCATATTTTCTAAGGCACTTCTACACTCGGACACCAATTTAGTTGTGATCCTATTGGATCTCAATGCCATAATAGCAGCTTTACTGTCTGAGCATATAGTGACTGGTCCACGTCCACTTCTCCCGAAATTTTCTTGGACACACGTCGTTGGCAGGAAGCAAACCTGGTGTATTGCAAGTCCATTCCTCTCTTGTAGGAAAAATGACATGCGGAGCTTTATTGAAATTCTTCGAGCTGTTAGAAACGATACTGACCACTAATCAGCTTTTTGAAAAACCTGGAAATTTTTTTAATATTGACGAATCGCGGTAGCAACTCAACAACAAACCACAAGTTATAGCAGCTAAGTATTTGGTTCGTCTCTCCCAGGTGGTTCAACTATCCCGATTAGATGATTCAACTAAGCCGCACAATCAGGGCTTGTTGGACCATTATATGATTTTCAATTTTCATTTTTGTCGAAAAAACCTGTTTATTTTCTGAGTATTTGAGAACCGTTAGCATCAAAGTAGATTGATAGGTTGGCAATGAATATTGTTTCATTTCAATGGAGTTATATTTGAGGAACTTATGGGTGAAATAAAAAAGGTGGTCAATCTCTCCCATAATTACCCTAAATTAGGGCACAGTTGCGCATTTTCATGCTGAACATATATCTGCAAGAAAATTCCATGTGTCATTTTCAGTTTTCAAACTATTTGAAGAAAACCAAAATTTGTAATTTTTGTTTTTATTTTTTCAAGCAAAAACCAGAAGACCCATGCGTTTCTGACTAGGACATTCTTGAGGCACTTTTTCGTAAGGAATCTGAATCTGTCATCCTATTTTCCAGGACGTTGTTGATGCCGAAGTTACAACACTCAACTTTGTTCTTCTTATAGGCGCCATATTGAATTTCTGCATTTTTTTATTGTTTTTTTTTTATTACAATGATGTATCACACAATATGATCGAATCTTTCCTGTTGATCAAAATTGGGAAAAAACATTTTTGCGAAGAGTGCTTTGGAAGGAACGCCAAAGTTTTGTTCAACTAACTGAATTTTGAGTTTTGACAGTTCAATTGAATATGCGAACAGAACTGTTGAATTCTTAAGATTATCCACATAACGCAAGAAGGGTTGCCGAGTGTCTGTCAGATATCTTCCCTGACAAGGTAATTTCCACCAACGTAGACATACGTTGGCCAGCGCGGTCACCTGATCTCTCCCCGCTGGATTATTATTTATTGGGAACTATGAAAGATTTGATGAGCTGAAAAGAATCATAATTCCCACTTTCAGGACTAGGATAAGCAGACGGGACATCTCGCGAGCAATTCAGAATCTGAGGAAACGCGTAGAATTGAGTTTAGAAGTGTGAGGTAGAGTATTCGAGCATCTTTTATATCTTTGTTTTGTTTCGCAAAGAATAAACTTCTAGTTCATTACGTCGTTCCTAATCCCAAACCATAGTTTTTGAATAGATGAGTTTGACGAAAATGTAAACGTTCCAGATCCAAATTCAAATAAACTGTCGAAATTCAGCTTGTTAAACAAAACTGTTGGCGTTCTTTTCAAAGCACACTTCGCAAAAATGTTTTTTACATCATTGTAATAGAAAAAAAGGCTTCTACAATGCAAAAATCCAATATGGCGGCCATGAAAAAAAAACAAGTTGTGTGTTGTAACTTTGGCATCAAGATCGTTATGGAAAATGGAATGACAGATCCAGATTTCTTGTAAAAAATAGTCTCAAGAATGTCCCAGTCAGAAACGTCTAGGTCTCTTGGTTTTCGCTAGAAAAAATATGAATGAAAATTATAAATTCTCGTTTTCTTTCAATAATTCAAAACCTAAAAATGAGATGATTTACATTATGATAACTCTGCATTTTGGTGATTGTCCCTTCGAGCTGTTCTGTTCAATATTGGCGATATGATGATTAGTATGCATCTCTTTATTATAAGTTTATCAATAGCAACTCTCATATTCATATCACACATTATGTAGCGAGCGTCGGAGAGATGTAAGTGGACTAATATCATTTCGATAGCATTGTACCAAGATATGGAGAATGAAGCTTCACAGAAACATTCAAATTCTGTATACTACCAGATAAAAATAATAGTTCAGTGACTCAGCCAGTTTCACATGGCAGCAAAGTGGCCTGAATTCATCAGGAAAATAATAATTGATTGTTATACAGTCTGTCCAAGATAAGGTTGAATAGCATGGGGATCTCGAAAACGGTAGGAGTTAAAAAGTCGGTCAAATGGGGAAAAAGTTGCGCATTCGGAGGCTCATATCAAGAGCCTTCGAACATTTTTAAAATTATTTTTAGTTTTTGAGTTATATCAAAAAGGTTAAATTTTGGAATATCTATTTCATTTTTTTTTCTTCGTCATTATTAGAGATACAGAAAAACTGAAACTACTTTCCCATAGCAACTTTTGATGACGTTTAACGTGTTGATACCGATTTTTTTATGCGACGTTTCGTATTCGTATAACCATCATCAACTTTTGTTTTTCAAATACGGTCCTGATAATTTTTTCACAGATTCTGAAAGGTTTTTTTATTCTGAATCCAACCATGTATTATACAATGTGTGTTTCGACCTATTTTCCGCCATCATCAATGTTTTTTTCGAAATTCCAAAGGAAAAATGCCATCAGTTCCACCTATTTTGAAGGAAAACTTGTCAACACACTAATACCTCATCAACTGGTTTCAATCAACAACCCATTTCATTTTGCGGAAACAAAAATTCCATCCATACAAATTCAGAATAAGTCAAGCGCTAAAACCAGGCGATGACGAAAGGCGCAGGACATTCTGTGAGTGGTATACCAGGAAATGTCAAAATTTTGCAGATTCCCCTCGAACAATCATCTGGACTGATGAAAGCATGGTCACTAATCATGGTATCTTCGATAGAAAAAATACACATTATTGTTCACGAGAAAATGAACATTTATACATTACAGCGTGACACCAACACCGTTTCGGCTTCAATATGTGGGTTGCAATATTTGGTATACGAATTATTGGTCCTTTTATTTACCATGAAACACAGACTTCCGAACGTTATACCGCTATAATACCGATTGCGGAAGTTCAGAACTGTTGGTTTTAACAAGATCCGGTACATTATTCTAGAGAAGTCCGTGAGTTTTTATCCAAAAAAATGGATTGGTACTCATTCTACAGTCCCTTGGCCGGCGCGGTCGCCTGATTTGACACAGCTGGATTTTTTCTTAGGGGATGTATCAAAAACTTTTACGCAAATAACTTTGATGATGAAGAAGAACTGAGGAACAGTGTCATAGAATCAGTCTATAAAATAACCCCAGAAATGCTTAGTAATGTCTAAGAAGCAACTTTGCGAAGAGGATATCTTTGTTCATAAAATAATGGTTATTATTTTGAACATTTGTTATGAATGTTTCTGTTGGTATTGTCAAAGTTAAGTTGTTATAGTAATTCGTGTAAGAATTTATCAACAATTTTTAGCGCTGCATTTAATGATGTAGTGAAATATTTTTTATCTAGTTCTCAGTATTCAATAACTAATCCATCAATGTTTGACACTAAATGATCAGAAATAAGTGGAACTGATGACACTTTTCCTTTGGAAGTTCGAAAAAACATTGATGATGGATATAAATAGGTCGAAACACATTCGAATCACCTTGTATAATACATGGTTGAATTCAGAATGAAAAAACCTTCCAGAATCTGTGAAAAGATTATCAGGACCGTATTCAAAAAACATAAGATGATGATGGTTCTACGGATACGAAACGTCGCATCAAAAAATTGGTATCACCACGTTAAACGTCATCAAAAGTTGCTACGAAAAAGTATTTCCAGTTCTTCTGTATATCTAATAATAACGGAGGAAAAAATAAAATAGATATTCCAAAAATTCACTCTTTTCGATACAACTCAAAAACTAGAAATAATTTTGAAAATGTTTGAAGGCTCTTGATATGAGCCTCCGAATGCGCAACTTTTTCCCCATTTAAACGAGTTCGTATCTCCTACTGTGTCCGAGATCCCCATGCTGTTCAACCTTATCTTGGGCAGACTGTATAAATCCCCCTATAGCCTTTAATTGATCTGATGTTGGGAAACAATTGTTGTCATGTCAATCAAAACACAAAATTAGTTAGTGTAATTCTCAGAGTGACAGACAGAGCGTTACTGTCATTCACGATTCAGTGGAATTGCGATGAAAAACTTCCAGCTACAGATGCGATATGGATGAGTTATTGCCAACGAAGTCTTAAGAAAGGCATGAGAAGCACTACACGGGATTTATTGAATGGTGCAATAGTAAAAAAGTGAAAACACCAAATAAAGAAGTATTTTTGGCTCATTTCCTAGAAATGTCTGAAACCTAGAGGCCAACACCATGGACATGCTGGCTTCCGCAGTAAGCTTACCAACATAATATAATGCTTCAAACGATACACACAATATACCGGGTGTCCCATTTTAATCTTTATTTGGAAATTTCTCGAAATGTATGCATCTGACAAAAAAAATTGCCGAATAAAAGTTGTATGGTTTGGAGGGGCACGTCTGGTTATGAAACAAGTTTCACCCCCTGACCCCTAGGGGAGTGGAAAATGGAGGTAACATTGAAATCTTTAATGGAAACCCCTATTTTTTTATTGCTGATTCTGGAAGAGCATTAAAAACTATGAAGCTTCTATGGGAACTTCTTTTTTATTTTCACAAGATGACGCTGCGATCTTGAAAAACAATATTTTACTATTTAGTTTGTAGTTGGCCACCCGGATCACCCGACTTGACTTCCCCAGGCTTCTTTCTGTGGGGTTACAGCAAAAACATTGTGTTTCGCGAACCCCCAACCACACGCGGGAATATGAAAGATAGAATTAGAGGAGCGTGCATGGCTATAACGCCTGCTATGTTGGAAGCGACAGTGCGGAATTTTGAAAAACGAGTGAACTTGTGTATTCAAGAAAATCGAGGTCATTTCGAACACTTGATAAAGTAGTCAATCTCACTTAAAACCAGCTTTAGTCTGACCTAAATGATACCTTAATTGCTGAACCATGCTTATTTTTCTCTTTTCTATCTAGAGGTGTCGAGGTAAGTAAGTTCGTTTAGCGTTAATTTGTCGTGTGAATATCACCCCAATGGCGTTTGTCTGGGAAAATATCACAGCCTACACTCTTCCTCGTCTTCAGGGGGTTTAATTGTGTAAATAGTGAAATATTGTTTTTTACGATCGCAGCGCCATCTTGTGAAAATAAAAAAGAAGTTCCCGAATAAGAGCTTCATAGTTTTTAATGCTCTTCCAGAATCTGCAATAAAAAATAGGGGTTTCCATTGAAGATTTCAATGTTACCTCCATTTCTTACTCCCCTGGGGGTCAGGGAGTGAAACTTGATCTATAACCAGACGTCCCCCTCCAAACCATACAACTTTTATTCGTCAACTTTTTTTGTCAGATGCATACATTTCGAGAAATTTCCAAATAAAGATTAAAATGGGACACCCGGTATATATCACTAATTATTAGAAGATAGAGAATATATCACTATTGTTAGGTTGTTCCTATTTGCAGGAATGACTGATTGAACGAATCAATCAATTTCCTACGCTTGTAGAAAAAATATTGCACCTAACTCATGCGGAAAGTGTCTTTCCCGCACTCGACTGGCATTCGCGTGCGGAAAAGTGTCACTTTCCGCACTTGTTAGAAAAATTACTATCTATCGAACCAGGCAAGATTCTATGAAAGTTGAGGTGAAAAAATAGGTACTCACTTTCCGGTTATTATCACTCGATCAAGTTGTTGAGTCCAAGTGCAAGGATTCTGGGCATCTCCATCGCTAACAGTTCCATTACGACAAAGATATTGAAAGTCTCTTATATTATTGGAATTATTGAAGAAAATTCGAGCATCTTTAAGAGTAGTTAGTGCTATTTCTCCTGGTTTATCCTGAAGACAGTTCAGAGTATCTTTGAAAGGAACTTGGTATTCCGTATCACATTTTCTTGAACCACAGAGTTCACATAGACTGGAGTATTTGGATTCTAAAATGAAGAACCAAAATGAAAATCATATCGTTGATATATGTCACTTCATTATTCCAGATTTTTAAGGATCGTCTCTCCTCATTTCCATAAAATAAAAATATAAATATAATATGAATTAAACCAAGAGACCTCTTTCAGTAAGGACGAAGGAACATAAGTACAATATAATGAAAAGACACATCGATAAATCGAAACTAGCTGAACATATCCTTACTGAAGACGGACAACATATGGCAGAGTGGAATACTATTGAAATCATTGGAAAAGAAGTCTTGTTCAGTTGATATAGACAGAACATGGTATTCACTACTGAAATCTGAAAATGAAAATGGTAAATTCAAGATTAATTAATGAAAATATCCTGTAACTCATTTGATTGCCAACGTCACCAATTGTCACTGAGAACTGCAAAGTTCCAAGACAGATAGGAATTTGCTATTCAAATAACTATTTTTTATGTTGAAAACGGGAGCAGATTCGGTCCCGAAACGTCCAAAGCTAAGTGAAAATTTGATATTTTTTCTATATACTTTTATTTCTCTTTCCCAAACCTTTTTCAATACAAATTGTCACTGACAAGCTAGTGAATTTTTCTTTTAGGCTCTCTGATAGGAAAATTCTTTGAACGCAGTGACATTTTGGAGCAAATCATCTGATTTGCCCTCACTACACGTACATACAGGGTGAGTCATAACTATTGGGACATAAGCTAATATGGCGATTGGACCAAACATGCCTTAATGGGATATTGCTGTGAAAAGAGATACAGGGCGTTAAAGTTGATTTTTTTCGTTTGGTTGCTTTCTGCCTAGATATATACCGGGTGATCAAGATTCTGAATTCTGCACCACCCTGTATTTGTTTCAATTAAATGTCAGTAGATAGTTGATCAAAAGTTGAGATAGGGACATGTGAGCCGTTTTGACCAATGAATGGTTTAGACACAAAAAATTCTTGAACTTGGAAAATCTCGATTTCTCACACCCTATATCTCAGAAATTATAACTGCTAGACCCCAAGTATGATGGATTGTTGAAATCAGCTCACCAGGGAGAATCTCAAAATGAAATAATATATAGGGTGTTCGATTGAAAAAAGTTCACCTTCAGTGTTTTGTGATTTTTGGGGACATCCTGTATGTTTCAAAATAATTTCAAATGGCAGCCTATGTTGACATGCAACTTCCTAGAGAGGAAGAATTCCAAGAAGATAAGTGGTTAGCCTTCTAGAGACCGAGGCGTTACTGGTGGCCCACCCTGTATATAAATCATGGGAGCAAAGGGTAATTTCCTCCCATGTGTGTTTAATGCTTCACACTTCACACGCGGGAGGAAAATGAATACCTTTCCTCCCTTGATATATAAATAGCTATTACATTCAACTTCAGATTATTTCCAGTTCATTCTATAAGTTGATGAATAAAAATTATTCATTCAACAGTTTACCATATAATATCATGTAGGTATACTTGCAAATTCGAAATTTACAAAAACACATGTTGTTACTATACGTTAGTTTTTACATTTCATCACAAACAAGCATCATTTTCATATAAACACTATGATTTTATACCTACTTTTCAGTTTTGACATGAAGAATGACATACGCCCTAACAACACGAGTACGTCCCAGGGACGTCCTTCATTTTCTACGAGGACGTCCCTGGGATATCCTGTGTCGGGACATGGTACATACTAGGGACGTCCCAGGGACATCCGCTTTCTACAAAAAGAGGCATCCTAGGGATGTCCTTCTGGTACGTCCCTGACATGTACCAAGTACGAAGAAATGATATCCCTAGGACGTCCCAAGGGTATCCCAGGGACATCCCTTCGACAAAAGACAAAAAAAATGTAGGTCGAGAACGGATTGAACCCGGGACCTTTGGCTTATCAGGCACGCATCTTACTCCATTGGCTATTGAGCCTCCTGAAGATTTATGTACTATACAGATTCATAAACAGGACTTAACTACAGAAACTTGAATAAATACAACTTTGTTAGGATTTGGGTATAATTATTATATCATTCTTGGGTGTCTAAAAATGAGGGGCATTATGCATGTACGATTTCTGTTTGCGAAAAATGGTAATTTCTTGAGAAGTTCCGAAACTTCATTTTTCATTTTCATTACGATTATTTTCCGGAAGAAAAACAAACATTTTCAAAAAAATGCAACTTAATTGATGAAATTCAATGACTCTGATGTGAATGGATATCAGATATTCCAGGGACACGAATAGGATAACCTAGGGATGTACCGGGCGGGATGTCCACTGGACAACCACTGCGCGACATCCCCTGGATGCCCCAATCATGTCCTTGTACCGCGGGACAAAAAAGGGACGTACCTAGGACATCCCTGTGTTGTTAGGGACGTATATAAAAAAATATATTATTCTGTTGAGTTAACATACAAAGCCTATAATACTATCCAAATGTCAAAACCATAAAAAATCGTCATTATCCAAGTAATTTTCCAATAATATTTCAGTGTGAAATTTTCTTACCGAATACCACTTTAGCTTCAATTAATATTCGGGAATTTTTCCTCGAACACGAATATTCAAAAATTTCCGGAAATAATTGAAGCTCTCGTGATATATTATAAACGAAATTGGTGTTAGATCTGTAACGACACAGTGTAATTATTGAATGTGAAAAATTCGATACCAGTTCAGTAGCCTCTTACTATAAAATTTGTAGTAAAAATCTATTATGATTATTAAATCTCCAGCTCATTTAACTTACTCAATTTCCTATCCAAGACTTCATCTTCAGTCCAAATGCCTGGTTTGCAGCTATTGCCCAAAAAGTTCGCCAGAGACCTTATCCTTTTTTCAACTAGGGTGATGTTGCCAGCAGCATCGCAGAAATTGCCGTTCACACTCAGTATTTTGGATTCGAACTCTTCCAGCACGTACTTTGTGACCAGTTCGTCGTGTTTGTAGCCAGGGTGACAGAAGCGTTTGCCTCGCAGATTTTCGAAACCTCCCCTAAACGGCTTGCGAACAATCACTACCGTTTGGTATGGTGGATTTTCTAGAAAATGATCCGAAATAATGGCAAACAAGAAACAAAGGGATATCAAATAAAATAAAATGCAAAACTTGAAATCTCGTGATATCATCATTTTCTTATTGTTCAAGTTTTACTCGGAGAAAAAACTAACCCTAAGTGATTATTCAAGGAGTTTTACACGGAGAAAAAAAACTAACCCTAAGTGAAAATTTAATAATGTCAAGTAAAAACTTGTGGACATAATTAGTGACTTATTCACTTCTAATGAGTGACTTATTCACTTGTCATTAGTGATATTGTCACGATAAAATAGATGGTTAGTCCATCCATATCGATTTAAAAGTGGTAATGATCGTCTTGATAGTTTGCGATAGGTAATATTCGAATAAGCACTAATAGTTCATCAGGGGTAGCTGAAAGAACGAGACTATATACAAACATGGCATTATTTATTGAAGCATGAAACATCAAACATCATGGGTAAAGTGATGAATATAAAAGAATTACAATGGATATAATGACCAAATAACAACTTACATTATAATTACCATTACGACGAGTTCTTGCCAAGTCAAGAGTATACAGGGTGTTTCATAATTGAATGTCAATATTCGAGGAGGCGATTCTTGGGCTCATTCTAAGAAGAAAGTTTCATATGAACGTATGACCTAAACGTCCCAACTTTGGAGATACAGGGTGGTAAAATTCTCGAAAATTAATATAGCCTACTACAATGAGAAGTTATAATTCGAAAATACCAAATACGAATACAAAGTTCATGAACTATGAATTGTATTTCTGAAATTTGATCTTAAAAATAAAAACTATTTCTCTGCATTGTGATATTATCATATTAACAATATTACTATAATCATGTAGTGAAAAGCTTTTTATTTTTAAGCGAAAACCGTGCATCAGATTGAAAAAATTGTAGTGATCAAATTTGCTTAGAAATGATCGGGAATTTCAGGAATGATTTCAATTTGGAGATTAATCAGTGGCGTACCATCAATGTCTGCCAAAATAGGTATGTGAAATTCCATACGAACGCCACTGGTGGCAACAACAAAAAATGTGGTACGCTAACTGATGCCTCTTGATACATAGTACATGTATGCCAAATTTCATCAGAATATCTGAAGTGGTATTACAGATATTAATAAAAAACTATTAATTTTTGAGAACTTCACCACCCTGTATCTCAAAAGTTAGGATGTTTAGGTCATACGTTCATATGAAACTTTCTTCTTAGAATGGGCCCAAGAATTGCGTCCCCAAATATTGACATTCAATTATGAAACACCCTGTATAGCCCCAGACCAGACTAACTTCGGAACCCTCACATCCAATATTTATAGACATCATTTTATTAGACTTACACGTTTCTCATGAGAGTTCCTTGGTTAGTTTTCATAGTTCAATGTCAACGGATGATTTGATTACCTTTATGTTTATAAAACCCTCATGGTTCGGAATCACTAATATACCGTATGTTCTACTCGTGACAATATGATAAAACTAGCGAATTTTGATTTTACTAGTGGAAACAACGGGTATACTTCACAAACGCTTCAAGATCGCAATGAAGAAAGAAGAAATGAAGCCGTGGACATCATCAGTGGTATTGGACGCGTTGGTCGTGGTCACCCGAATAAAATATCGGAGATGTCCGAACTGAGAAAATATGTATAGCTACAGGTGAGCTATCACATGCACCAATCGACGTGATGAGTAGATTATTTTTATCGATGAGTTTCCTCAGGGCAAGGGATTTTGTCTCAAAAACATAACATACAGAGGGTGTCTCAGGTTTAACTCGTCTAACTTTGACAATCGATAGCAGATATTAGAATATTATACATGTATTTTTTTATTTGTCGTTGAGACACTTGTTTTCATTATAGTTAGAGTTCGCATAAATTTTTTGTTTTTATTTTTTATTCCTGTTGAAACAAAACCTAGCAATTTGAAGCACTTTTATATCTGCAATATGAACAGTCCTTATATATTATATCCCATTGCTGTTATGATATAGTTATTATGCATTCAAAAAACAATTTCCGGAAATCTCGACATATTGATGATGTCGGCAACGTCGTACTGGCACAGGAAATCGTATTTTAACTCTGTGTGAATGTGTGTTTTCAGAAAGTACGTCATAGGAATGGTGGAGGAGCCAAGTTCCTATTTTATTTATTTTTTTCTGAAGTGAAATTTGATCTGACAAAAAAAAATAAAAAAATCATATGTATTAATTTTTTACGAGATAAAAACCTCAATACAGGAAACTTCCCCATTTGTTGCGCGCGCATCCGTTTCTGTTGTTCGAGGTGATGCCTCCGTCTCCATTTTGATGTAGGATATGTTCCAGGGCTGGCTTCATATGGTCTCGCATGAGTTTTCTTTGTATTTCACTACTTCGAAGATGGGAACCAGTTCCCCATATCAATAGAGGGGACTCAGCTACACTGGGTTTAATTTTTTTGGTATCCACTGATATAGAACCATACAATTTTTTTCCATTGGGACGCTAATGGTGAATTAAGCTGATGAAAAATGATCCTCATTATTCACCTTAATATCTGCGCTTCAATTGTTTTGATATCCTTCTCAGTTTCCTTGTTATTTGGAATAAAGTAATACTATGCATTTTTAACCTAACGGTTCACGGACACGAAAGATATTGAGACAAATGAAAAACACAAAGTGTGGTGAAGAAATAATAATGATTTTTCATTAGGTTCAATCCACTACTAGTGTCCCAATAAAAAAATCTAACGAGTTCGATGTCGAAGGGCTCGAAAAAGAATAACACCCAGCGTATTCTATTGATAGGGACTGTTCATATCGCCGATAGAAAAGTGTTCACCGAATTTCAGATCGCTAGGTTTTGTTTCAACTTGAGAAAAAAATGAAAAACCAAAAATGTATGCGAAAGTTAACGCCCCGTATAATGAAAGCAAGTTTCTCCATGACAGAACAGAAAAATACGTATCTAATATTTTGTTGTTTGCTATCGATTGTCAAAGTTAGGCGAATCAAACTTGAGACACCCTGTATAATGGTGAGTTATGCGTTAACCTATAGTTTATATTATAGTGTTCACTTATAATTAGTGAACTGAAAATACATATCGATTTGTTTAATACCAACAAGTGTCCTGATCACTTACAGCAGACACATTGTTTCCGAAAAATATTGTTTTGCCTGCTTCTAGTAGGTACCTCATTTTTCTACCGTTGGTGAATATTTTCTAGTCACAATCGAATTTTTTGCAAGAAATCGATTACTTGGGTGAGTTTTTTCAGTATGAAAGCTATAGAATTTGAGTGAGATAATCAATTATTTGATTGACAGATTTGTGTGTGATTTATTTTCATGCTCTTAAATCAAGTGTGGTTAAAAATAAATGTTGAATACTGAACTTTTGAAAGTGATTTCAATTGAATTTATTAAACTGAAACTGAAACAACCAAAGCTAATCACTCTGAAGGCAGGAATTCATCATTCATCGTACCTAGAGTTCCTAAATTTACTTGATGACACACTGTTTTGACGTTTTTTGTATCATACCTAAGAAAATTTACTACGCTTATTGTCTTCTACGAAACTTTGCAATGTCGTCACGTTGATTCCTTTTTTTGTTATGATGTGCCTCACAATGAGTATAATTATTATGTTTCAAAACTAGTGAAATTCATTTGTCATATACTGAATGAAATTGCAAAAACTACTCACTTGCTTTTACCGTTCCAATAACAACAACTCTGTCAGAAACTAAAGGTGCAGCCAAAAGAGCTTGTTCTGGATATACGAGAGCTATTTGTGAAAGTCCTCTGTCTATATTCAAGAAACAGTCAGTTCTGAAATACAAAGAAAAACTGGTTAAAAAAATATATTCAGGCTGTTAACAAATAAGTGTCGCAACAGAAAACTGTAGATACCTCATAAAAAAGATAACATTGTTTCCTTTTCGAACATTTTCTCCAGAGCTTCTGCTTTCAAGATACAAGAAGTAAAAAAATTGTTTTGCCCTTATCTCAGGAACCGTTTGAGCTACGGATCTGAGCCTTTTTACACACTTAATCATTAATTATGACTACTCTCAAGGCATTCAATTTCCTTAGGCATGTCAGTGGCGGAGAGTTCATCGCCTCGTTTGACTCCCAAACTGTTATGCCAATGGAGAATAAGCACATTCTGATGCGTCAATATCTTTCACATAAAAGAAGTTTTCTTGATTCTTGCTTAAATGCTCCAAAGTGAACAGTACTAGTTATTATTAGGAATTATTACAGCACCAATTGATTTATCTTATCATATTATTGATGAAAATAAATATTTGATTTACTTTGGATAATATGTATACGTAGCGAATTGTTCCAGTTTTCTTAAATTTGAAGTAGGTGAGTACCTAGATCCTATCTATGATATATTTTTGTTACAGATGATGAATTTCTCATCAAATATATTAGTATTACTATAAATACGAAAAAATAAACAAAAACAGCTGATACACTGTCATCTGTCAAGTTTCTCAAGTAAACCGTGACGTCACCATGAAGTTACCGTGAAGTCATCATAAACTGAACCTGGTTTGTCTGGTTATATAGGTTCGAGGAAAAATACCTATTATAAACTGTCGCTGATAATCGCCGCCCAAACATTCACGCAAAATTCGTGTAGATGCCCAATTCAAAACACGACGTGGAGGTTTTCTTCGTTTCACAAATGATCATTATGTGAATTGAAAATACCACTGCTGGAAAACTGGATTTGTACGAAAAAAAAACCAGCAACAGTATTCCACTCTTGGTGGTTAATCAACTGGAACTGTACTTTTTGCAGATGGAAAGGGTGAAGTTGCTGTTTTTTATAGAACTTTCCAAACATTTATATGATTTTTTGTATTCAAAGCTTGTTCGAGTTCTTGTTCTTAGATTTTCTTCAAGGAGATGAAGTACATCTTCTTCAAATATTCGCACGCTATGGTTTCTTTGCCGTCTACAGTTCCATTCATTGGATCATTTTGAAACATGCTCTTATGCTGGGTTTATAGATTCAATTAAACTAGCAATTATGAATTATCAATCAACAATCTACAAATAATAATCATAAGATTAGATGTGATATATTTTTTGATTAAATATCAGAATGTTGTTAAATAATTATTTTTGTATCTAGAGCGCGAAATGCTACTTTGGTGATCGAGATCTGATTTTTGACCAAAATATTTCGCGCTCGATTTGCGAACAAAATATTTTCTACAAATGTCAAAAAATATAGTTCTAAAGTAAAAATATCCTCAGCTTGATATAAAAAAAGTGTTGAACTGGCTTAAAAGGCCTCCCCCTATCCTCCCTAGGTACGCATACGATGTTCCACGAACATAATAGGAATTTCCTTTCGTGCGCTCCAAGAGATAAAACAGAGTTATTGTTGAACATTCAGAGATAAATGATTTCGTGGATGTTTGCTCGATTGAGGACCATAAAGATGAAATATAAACATCTCACATATTTTACATAACTATGCGCGAAGTACGTACTTCGCGCACAGTTTTACTTCGCGTATTGTTTTGTGCAAGGTATCATGGTAACGTAGGAAACTGAAAAAAATCACTTTGCAATTTGTTATCAATGCGCAACCTTGTCATTTTTTGACGTTGTAGAAAAAAGTTATTTTGGTTTCCACAATTCATGAATCCATGAAACATATTCCAATTAAATATCACCAAAATCTCAATAACGAATCCAACCTCCTTGTTCTGCCTCCAGAATTTCCTAATTCTTAGTTGTTAAGTTGAAAGTTGGACAACTTTGTATAATTATCGATTCTTAATATAAATGACAGATGTAATAAATGTACAAACCCTCATAGATGTTTCCTTGTATTCAACTTTTCAAGTTCATGGTTGTTAGTTTAATTCTTAGTTTAGTTGAATCTATCAACCCAGCATTAAAAGCGTCTCAGTTCGAGCAGCCACTAGGAACCAACTTCATTTCTTCAAAGGCTAATTTCGCAACTTTTGGGATAAAAATTTAAAGAACCTAAAAGATTCCTATTTTGGATCAGGGAGGGTTTGATCATCTCGGACGAGGCGCTTCATATAATTAAGATTTGTGCAGCTCTTCCATTACTGCGTGTTTCACCGTGAATGTCTATCATGTCTGTATATTGGTTATTGGTCAAATCATCCATTGTGTCAGCACACTTATTCAAATACTTTACAACAATTAATAAACTTAACAATCTGAAAACCAGTACTCAACAACCTGACATTTGATTAAACATTTTATTTGACAGTTCTGAAGTAATTTATTTCCAGTGGTGTTTTTTTTTAGGAAAACCAGGATTTCGTATGTTTTAATTATTCACAAATAGCTATTTATTATACAAGGGAAAAATGTTGTAGATTTTTGCTGCAGGTTATGTTGTCCGTGAGCAAAAATGTAATATTCTTACCGTGTATAATACAATTTTTTTTGTGACAGGAAAAACGACTGATCTATATTGAGAAGATATTATATTATATTGAAATCAGAAAAATATTGACGTGAAATTTGAAGTTATTACAGGAATTACACCTGTGTTGCAGACATCTTTTTGCAGTTTATCATTGTTTTGAAGTAATCAAATATCTGTCAGTCTAATTCTGTGATTTGGTTTTGAAAATCTGCGAATTCAGTGGCTGTTTAGTAATTTACTTAACCGCGAAGTGGAATGGACGATGAAAAGTCTTTCAGTTCATTCTCGGAGACAGTGTTATTGGCTTATATTTCGGAACTGTCACAACCGAGGTCACAACAAAAGCCATCAACAGTGCACCTGTATATCCGTGAAAAAAGTACTCACCTTTTTCCGTGGGTAAAAGTAATTTATGAAAAGTGATATTTTGTAACATTCTCCCGTTACAGAAAAAAAAAAGATTTTTGTCAAAACCTTTTCACTTCAGATCATATTGAAGCAAGAAGACCTTGGCGCTACAGAATGTGCTCTGAAAATTACTATTTCTCCAGTTAAAATTTGGAATGGGGGTTATGCCCTTATATACGAGGCGTTGAACTCATTGACATTGACATGTCCAATGTCCAAGGAGAGCCTTAAAAAGTAGTTATTATTATAGATGAAGTGATCCCTAGCTCAAACGGTTCCTGATATAAGAGCAATAAAGTGAAACATTTTTTTACGCCCTATACCGGGTGGCTACGGAAGTATTGCCTACGGAATATCTCAGTTATTGTATGAAGTAGGTTTGTGAAATTTGGAGCGTCGATATAATGACATAAGAGCTAGAATTTGAGCATATTGATATGTCGAAGTTAACTTCAGGTCTGACCGGAAGTAACATCATCTTTCTTATTTTAAATGGAAACCCTATTTTTTTTTCTTTTTGCTTCATTCAGAATCCAATTCCCTTTCTAATGACATATCACAAGTTGGTATCTAACCAGAAACTAGATCAGAAAAAAATTATTATTGAAATTCACCGAGTAGGCCGTGGAAGCAAAATGAAAGCCAAAATTGAAAAGTTGGCTATAGAAACCATACGTCCCTTGATAACAGTTGCTACTACTGTGATATTTCATTCTCATTCGTCGGCGTTATAAAAAGCCACCAAAAAAAATATTGGAAAAATTGGGAAAAAAACAATACTCTGTAGGTCCATAACTTAAATAGGAACATACAACTTTTTCTTGCCTGTACTATTCAGCATAACCATTCCTTTCTAATGATATAATAAATAAAAGTCATTTTTTGAAATGAAATACCAAAAAATCCAATTATTATTCTTCAAATAACAGAAAAACAGATTTATCGAAAAAAAAATCAAATTGATAGGTTAGGTTAGATACCAACTTGTGATATGTCATTAGAAAGGGAATTGAATGCTGAATAAAGCGAAAAGAAAAAAATATAGGGTTTCCATTTAAAATAAGAAAGTTGATGTTACTTCCGGTCAGACCGGAAGTTAACATCGACATGTCAATATGCTCGAATTCTAGCTCTTATGTCATTATATCGACGCTTCAAATTTCAAAAACCTACTTCATACAATAACTGAGATATTCCGTAGGCAATACTTCCGTAGCCACCCGGTATATCTTGAAAACGGAAGAAAAATTCCGAAAAGGAATAACAATTTTTCTTGAGGAATCTACAGTTTTCTGTTGCGACACTTATTTGTTAACACCCTGATGTATACTTTTTCATCAACATCCCAGACAACACAAGTGAATCCATTGGACAACCAATGGATGTCCAGCTATGGATACCCTGGACATCCATTGGATGGACGGCATTGTCCAGTATTTGTCCAATGGACATCCATTGGATAATACATGTCCAACAGTTTGGACATACATTGGAAGTCCATTGGCTTTCCATTAGACATCTGATGGATTTCCATTGGACATCCAATATTTGTCCTTTCCATTGGAAGTCTATTGGATACTCATCAGACATCCAATGGATTCCCAATGAAGATCCATTGTATGTCCATTACATTTGAAATACCATTGTATACACATCAGAACTCTAATGGATGTCTACCAAAAATCCAACTTATGTCCATTCCAATGATAAGTATATTGGATACTCATCAGGAATACATTGGATTTCCATTGGATATCCAAATTTTGTCCAGCCAGAACGTAGAAATTAAAAAAAGTTGTCCTTTGAGGGGATTGAACTCCCGACCCCGCTCTCGTGGATCACAACGCTAACCTCTGGACCACTGAGCTGTTATAAATATTATAGCAAGTATTTCGTATTCACGGTATTTCACATCGAGAGAAAATGCAATTTGCTGAAGTTTAGTGCCGCAATAAAGCTTTTACACGGCCCTTATCAAAAGTGTTACAGGGTGATTCATCTTTTTCGAAAGAAACCCGCCGTATAATATTTGCCCATATCGATCTTATTTGCACGGCCTAAATGGTTTAAAATTGAAATTGGATGAAAATCAACTTTAAAATAAGTACCTACCTCTATATAGGTACGTAACCTACAAAAATGATGGGACGTATAAAATCTTGAAAAATAGTACCGAGTGCGAAGTTGTCCGTGATTAATGTTCATATATATATTATATATTATTGGTAAAAATATTTCAATTGAAATAGAAGAGTCATAAATGACACATATATACTTTGCGAAACGATTTCCATTGGATAAGTATGATGGATATCCATTGGCTGTAAAAATTTCGTTGTCCATTGTATAACTACAAAATGGATGTCAATTGTATGTACAAATCTCTATGTCCATTGTACATATACACAATGGATGTCCATTGGACATCCATGGATATCCGGCTACCTAATGGATTCAAAATGGACATCCAATGGATGTATGTGTGTTATCTGGGATAACATATTCCAGAAGAAATTGGATTTGAAAGTTTGCCTGGAACTATAAATTATCAAACAGAGGTTTACAAATGGACCCGACTTTTTGATTTCGCCGATGATTCAATCACCGGATTATTGGAAGTGTTTTTTATTGCATTCGTTTAGTATAGACGAATAAAACAGCAAGTGTTTCATTCTTTCATCCATACGAATCATTGCATAGATTTCGGGAGGATCTAATTCAATGTTCTGCGTGGCATATTGCCAGGAAAATAGTTGTTTTCCGCTCGTTATCGTTTCGTTCATTCATGAACATTTGTGGAAATGACTTTGAGCTTTGAGTATCTATTCAACATTTCATTCTACTTTGAGCATTTTGTATATTTCTTGGTTGAAATCATGCCAATCGGGCAATCAGCCACTCCAATTCCATGGGAATTTGTTTGGAGTATTCCTTTCCTGTTCTACTTCGTCCATATCGCAGATGCCTCGTACGCCTCTTGGGTATTACATTCTGGGATGTGTTTACGTTGACAGGTTTGCACGAGATAACGGTCATGAATGCTATCTAGGGACAAACCTGCACTGATGAGAGCCAATAAAGCTCGAAACCGGTCTGTGGGTAGTCAAGCGTTCCTGAACAATTCAAGCACACATGTCAGCATGTATAGGCAGGTACCACTTGCGATTTATTAATTCGTCTATACGAATCATTGAATAGATTTCGGGAGGATGTAATTGAATGTTCTGCGTGGCATATATATCCACGAAAGTTGTTGCCTTTCTCTCGTTATCTACCAGTTTCGTTCATGCATGAACATTTGTAGAAATGAATTTGAGCTTTGAGTATTTATTTAGAAATGAAAAGTGTTAATGATTTAAGATTTCCGGCGAAATTTTGAAATTCAATAATTTCCAAAATATATTTTTTCGAAAAGAATGTATGTTGTATAACTTTTTTTGTGTTCTATTACTCACTTTCTAAATCACTCTAATTTCGTCTATCTACCAAAAATTTACGGTATACCTACTCACTAAAAAATTTTCATTGACGGTGCGGTGGTAAATGTTTCAAGACCAATTGAATATAATGATTCTTATGTTGAAATAATATGTTCTACGATGCATTTAACCTACCATAAAATGGGGATATTTGGGACTTCGGGGTTATCAGGGACTTCGAGGATACTCGGGACGCAATTTCGGATGTTTTAATTTCACTAGCGGCAACAACGCAAATATACAGGGTGTTGCGAAATTCGACAGACAACGCTTGACAGGTGATAGCCCTCGTGATTTTATAATCACTGAGATAGGGACATACGGTCTTCAAAAGTGTTCAGCTCTCGAGATACAGGGCGTTAAAGTTTAGAAATGAAAATAGTTGTTTCGCAATATCTCAAGAAAAATTTAATACAATGCATTCAACTTCGGTATCATCTTCAAATGGGTCGTTTTTTGACCAGGAAGCCATTCCGCACATTTTATTCAGTGGAGCCCTACAGGAGGTTGTGGTAACTATTCCCAGGGGCGGACTGGGTTGAAAAAAGCTGGAGGGCTTTGTGGATCAAAGGGCGCAACATGAAATGATTGTCTGAGTGTTTATACAGAGGCGTAGAAGTGCACCATTTTTTTGTTATTCCGAATCTCAACTCGGATTTGGCCCAATATTGGAATATTGCATAAAAAATTGAAGACAACCCCGATCACTGATATATGATATAATTTCCTTCTCGAATAAACAGATACATTCTCACTATCTGAAAAATCATCATCTTCTGCATGTATTCATTCTGCATGTATTCCTTTGAATATGGGCTTTTAAAACGATTCGAAACAAACAGAGTTTCATCGATTTTGAATGGTGTTTGAGAGTATAGGCCATGACAATGATAACATTTTAATTTTTTACTGATCAGATTTGCAATCATTCTCATTATTTTTTTTTCAGAAATCGTTCAAAAATCGATCAAACTCTGTTAGTCTTGGATACTCATGAATTGAAAAATATGGAAGATGATTATATTGAATGATGTGTTTTTGGAAAGCTCTTTGAGAGGTCTTTCCGATGGTACCTAAGGAAATATACAGTGTCTCATCAACGATTTAATAGAGACAGTATTGCTATTTCCTAAACAGTAAGAGATAGAAAGTTGATTTGATAGGACAAATGTTGCTTAATTTGAACCTATTCAATAGACGTTATGCACTTTCGAAAAATGTCAGCCATTCCTGAAATATTTTGAAAGGACTTAAAATCTCGTTCCTAATTATTCTCTTGGTTGATATTAGAGAGGAGATATTGAAATTTTGTGTGTTAAGGTAATTAATCATGGATGAAAAGGAAGTTGGGATTCTCAGAAATATTCTATCTTATTATTTTCAGAGATTTACTAATTTAAATTTAATCATAGAAATATAACTGGAATAAAACTTATGTCGAGACCAAGTCTTACACTAAATGAAAACCTTCAATAATAGTCAGAGGAAATAGTATCTCGATTATTCAACGAAAAATTTATATTTTGAGTTTTTCTGTGCCTTCTGTAATAATGTAGCGTGTTATTCATGGTTATTAAGAAGTATTGATATTGTAGTCATGACGACTGGGTTATTTTCATGGCCTACCACATTTGAAAATGTTTCTACTGTTCTTTAGCGCTATTTTCATTCAATGGTATATAAAGAACAGATATAGCGCCCATAAGAAAAACGTAAGTTGCATGTTGAATATCTGAAAATATTGAAAAATATTTCTGACAATCCCAATTTCTTCATCATGATAAATCATCTGCTTGTACAAAATTTCAATAGTTTTTCCCAAATATCAACTAAGCAAATGAATAAAAGCGAAATCAGTGATTTTCAGTTTTTTCAAAATATTTCAGAAACGGCTGACATTTTTTTAAGTTGTAAAACGTTATATTGAAGAGGTTGACGCAACTTTTGTTCAATCTGATCAAATTTCTATCTCTAACCGTTTAGGAAATAGCAATACTGTCCCTATTGAATCGTTGGACCCTGAATATAAGATGTTCTACTCAAAGCTCTCACATTTTTTTAAATTCAGATTCTAGAATTAATAAAAATTCCCTGTGAGGCAAGTTTTTATTCATTTTTGGAATATAAAAAATAAAATAGCTACAGGAAGTGGTACACTAACGTATCACTCAGTACATTTCCAAATTGATTGAGTAATTACCAATTCATCACACAAAAATGGTTCTTATTAAACAAGTTGTGATGAAAGAGGAGATGTAAAAGCTCACATACTTTTTATACCAGGTGGTCCAGAATTCCAAGTAACAAGTCGTCATTCCGAGTAAGAAGTCTGCATTTGAAAATAAAAAAACGTTGCTTTCTGGCCTTCGTGAAGCGCGATTCTTAGGGCAGAGGCGCCACTGGGCAAAGGCGCGGAGGGCTTCGCCCTCCCGCCCTCCGGTCCAGTCCGCCCCTGACTATTCCTCCCATATTCTCTACGCCACTGATTAAATTTCAATCATTTCCAATTCCACGAATTCTTTGTTCAATTTTGTTCAAAAAGTTCATCACCTTCAACTAAGCTCAAATGAACAGTTTTCGAGATATTCGACCCAAAATAGAAGATTGCATAGTAATATTTCATCATTTTCAGTAGTGGACAATTGCGAAAAAAAATTTCTTGTGTTGAGTAGATTAGATACTATTTAGATATCATTCTGTAGCCTGAACAGAAAAAAAAATTATAATTTCCATATCATACTGAGGAAGATGAAAAATTACTATGCCAACTTCTGTTTTGGGTCAAATATCCGAGAACTGTTCATTTTAGCTCAGTTGAAGGTGATGCATCTTTTCAACATAATTGAACAATCAATTCGAGAAATTGGCTACGACTATCACCAAAGTAGCATTTCGCGCTCTAGATACAAAAATAACTATTTCACTAATATTCTGCTTACATCAGGAGCAATTTATGGTGCTCAATAGGTTAAATGCATATAACAGAAATTTCGTACACAGGAATCGTTGCTTTGCCTCCCCAACAACTTTGACAAATTACTATACATTATTGAAAAAATGAAACTCAATTTTTCCCTAGTAACCCCAGTTTACGGTACTTTGGAATGTTGCATTTCAGAAAAACTTTTTCCAAAAAGTTCTCAGATTGTCTTATTTTCGTTGGAAAACGCAATGTATAAAATCATATTTTCCCATGTATAGCAGAGTAAATGCCTTCCTACAAATTGATGGTTGTACCGTTTCAGCATAATTAATCATTCAAGGTGTTGTTGAAATATTTCTCAGTAGGTAGGCATTCTAAATTGACTTACTTAGAAACTATATGCTCCGTACATCCATAAATTTGATTTCTTTTTATATTGTTGCAGGCATCAACGTTGTAGTTCTCAATACAAATTTTATCTGAAAAATAAAAAATTTCTTAATACAAGTTTGTAATGGTTCAGTCGAAATCGCAAAAGTTGGGAAAATGATGCCACAATGGGGGTCTTATGAGAAAGTATTGATTAGATAGACATAATTGATTTTCTAGGTGTTATACAATCATCGAAATATTCCCCATCCATCTGATCATTTTTGGTTTCTGGATATTGAGAGACTTTAGGAAAATATCCTGTAGGTATCTTATCAGACATTACGTTAATCTTGAATATCTTTATTCCTATTCTAAAAATTACCAATAAGTTTATAATAATCATCATTAACAAATCGTGTGATATAGAACCCCAGATTCCAGTGCAAGGGAAAATACTGCAAGTGGTTTCTCATTGAGTTTTGTCAAACGTTTAAAACATCATTTGAACTGCAAGGAGAGTCCCAGACTTTGGGCATAATCTACCAGGATTGTTAGCAGAGCAATTCCCGTTGCAAATACACAGTTGTGTGCGTTCCAGACTAGCCTTTCTTGCAATTGCACTTTTTTTCTACAGTCTTTGTGATCAGCTCCCTGTAGATCTTAGATACTTCGGGTGCGAGTATTGAATATCCCTCCGGCTCCTTGCGGGAGAGAGAAGGACATATATTACCCAGCGAGCACAAAAACATCTCAGAGATGTTAAAAGTACGAGATTTCGAGACATTGAACCTCCACTGCGATGTTCTGTTCACACACTATTATAGAACAGCCAATGTCCGCCGCAGGCGGCAATTATCGAGATGTCCTTGATATGTCACAAAACTACCTTCTCCCTAGTTCTTTTTAAAGCCTTTTCATGGACACAACAAAACATTTTCAACGCGTCTTGCGCACATTGAATCGCTGTAAAAAAACCATTTCCGAGGTACTTTTCCGAAGCCTTTAGTCAAAATGAACTTTTGCATTAGGATTCCATTTTCCTTGAATGAAAAAATGCATTAAAAATAGATTGAACATAAAAATATTTTCTTGATATGAAATGACCTTCTTAATCGGTTTCTGAGTAGTGCTTACTACACACAGACATATAATTGGAAATAGGTTTCCCAATTTTTGAAATGTTTTCCACAATGCATAATTTTGCAACTGCGGAGAAGCTGTGTATTGATGAATTCGTACTTTTATATATTGATTACACTGAGGCACCGAACAACACATCTTGCATCTGATGATCATTATTACAAACTAAATAAGTCTTCTAACACAATAAACTTCACCAAATTCCTTTCTGTTCGTTAGCAGCGTGATGTAAGCGTGACACGCTGCAAACGCGAATGCCAATTGCGAACAAGAAGAACAAAATCGAAAACAAATCAGAATTCATCGTATTGTGACGTAAGCATGAGACGTTGTGGTGGGGCAAACAAAGAAAGGGCACAAAAGAACAAAAAAAATACTTTCAATATCCTTCTAAGACCTCTTTGGGAAGTGCATATTACGCCTCAAAAAACATCCTCATGCCTACATTTCTAGAACATCCCAAAACATCCCAGGGATACCTCTCAGTAAGCAAACAAAGAAATGCCACAGAAGAACAAAAACAATACTTCAATATCCTTCAAAGACCCCTTTGGTCAGTGCATATTACGTCTCAAAATAACATCTTCATGCCAACATTTTCAAAACATCCCAAAACATCCCAGGGATGACCTCTCGCTCAGTGTTGTAGTAACCAATACCTCAATCAACGGTTGTAGCGTTGCCGTGGCGGTATCTTTGAAATTCTCTTGAGAATATCGAATATACGGAAAGAATGAAAATATCATTTCTGCATGAAGAGATTACTTTTTCCAAGAATCTTATCCTAATATACAGGGTGTTTCAAAAGTCAGTATCTCAATTTCACTGGCTTATTTTTGAAAAAATGTTTTTTCCCTATAAACATAATTATGTTCCAACTTCTCGTTCCCGATCTACAGAAAGCTTCTAGTATTTTGATTTTTTTTCAATAATTTCAGGTAGAGATTGCAGCTGCACGAAAACACAATGTTACGGTTTCAAAAATGAAAAAAAAAAACAACTCAATTTTAAAATTGAAAGAAATATATCTTCCAGCTTCAACATTCAAATAATTGCTTGATTGAAGAAAGGTGAGGTAGAACAATATTAGGTAACTAAAATATACGTTCATCAGGGTTTATTGAAAATGTTCACATTCTATACCTATCTGGTAGAATTAGTCATTCATCTGCAAGGCCAATTCAAGAAATTATACTATATATTTCTCCAAACTAGATGAACTATGAACAGTGCCGGTTTTAGCACTACCAGCGCTCTGGGCAAGAATTCTACGGCGCCCCCTAAAAACTAATATATTTCACTTTTCTAGCCTTTGTATTGGCAAACTCTTTCATTAGATCAACAAAGTCAATATTTTCAGCAATTTTATTTTCAATTGACAAAGTTGTCAAGTTTGTCAATCTGGATTGAGATATTGTCGATCGCAGATAGGTTTTTATCACATTAGGCTCAGGAAAACTGAAAACTAGCAACCATTACAATAATATTCGCAATGCTAATCATACATTTTAATAAAGTTCTTTTTAGTTGCGATCTTTTATAAAATTCAAAACATATGCAGGTGAGTTTATCACACCACATATACTTTGTCAAAGGTCGAGTTGTTTCGAAATTTGTTTTATATTGTACAAAAGTACCAAGATTTGTAGTACTCATTTAACTTCAAAGATATGGTGTAATTACTGATGCGCTTTTGTTTCAGAAATTTGACTCGGCCTCTCGAGAACAGCGAGAGCATTGCGGTTCCGTCGATCTTCTAATAGATGGCGACATTGCACAATTGTGAAATCTGTCAGTTTTGATATTGTCGCAGATTTTTCGAATTCAGAGTTGAATAATCCCATTTGCTATTTTATTTCCACTCGTCACAGCAGCAATAGCACCATCACCATCTAGCAGGAAAATGTAGAATCAACGTCTCGCCCGTTGTGACGTAGAGAAATCATAGTAGGCGGTCGAGTGATTTTTCTGAAATTTTCAATACGTAATAATGGCCGAATACGCGCACCATATCTTACTTTCATCATTCTGAAATGAATGAAAAATTGAACCTGATTATTTTCTGTCGAAGCTATTGGCACGTGGCGGGCAGTTTCACCAGCTTGACGCTCAACATATTGAATTATCCATGTGGCACTAAGATTAGGTCCAAACTTAGATTCAATTTCTAGTTCTTCAGCCAATTCCTCTGCAGTTAAAATAGCGATTTCAGAGTTAGTATTTCTATATTCTTACGAGAAAGTGCAGCATTCTTTCAACATTTATGTGCCGTTACTGAGATCTATATCTGTTGATTGTGAGATGCGCTAATGACGTTGATTTGAAAAATTTGAGGAATTTATAGAGGTTTTTGCGGCGCCACTTCTCATCCGGCGCCCTGAGCGGTCGCCCAACCGCGCCCTACCCTAACGCCGCTACTGACTATGAACCTCTTTGGCCAACGGTACCCGAAGCGCGAGTATTGAATGTCATTGGTAGGTGAATACCCAATACCCTTAATGGGCTTATATCACAAAAATATTTTATTTCATAATTCGATAGAACTCACCCAAACTAGCTCACCACCGCAAACCGTTTCTTGCTGTGAGCTCCCTACGTTTTATAAAAAATTATTGAAATCCCCGATTTTTCGGACCTCTGAAAACGTGGCGATGATGTGACGTCAAAACCCTAATACTGAAATAAGACTATTCCAGACAGATATTAATGATATATGATTTCTGACAGAGTGAATTAGCGCGAAAGCACAGTTGAAAGAATTAATCTGTGTCCATAAAGTCACGACCCCCCCCCCCTGGTTAACTATTGAACGGATAGAATTTTTTTTTTCAATTTTTTTTTGCTCCGATGGTAGTTTCAGTGCTACATATTTTTCTAAAAAAAAATATGTATCCTCCAAAATGGCGCCTGGGCGCCATTTTGGAAGATTTTTTTAAATGGAGTGGGGGGTCGAATGATACCTCGATTGAAAGGTCTTTCGATTCTCTACACAACCTCAGAATCTCAGACGAGAATATTCATCCAAAACAAAATGGCGGATGATAACGTTTGAAATCTCACACCAGAATTCTTTCGACTAGATGGCTATTAAAGTGCTCGCATGTGATCTTCAAATCTCTATTGGCGTATGGAAGAGTTCTCTATCATGAAAATCTGAAAGGAGTTCGATACCTGAGGATGCTGCAAGAAGATATTCATTCAGAGATAGTAGAGGTCGCTGGAAATAATATGCAGAATATTTTTTTTCAACAAGATGGAGCGCCTTCTCATTTCTATGGGCCAGTAACAGCATTTCTTAATGAAAATTTTCCTGAAAGATGGATCGGTAGGAGGAGTCCTATTGAATGGCCAGCTCGCTCACCTGATTTGACCCCTTTAGATTTTTTTATGGGGTCATCTCAAATCTCAAGTGTACCTACAGAACACCAGTAACGATAGATGAATCGGAGCAACGCATAACAGATACATGTAGAATTACTACGCCTGAAATATTTGGAAATGTAAGACGTGAATTCCAAAATCGCCTCTTCATGTGTCAAGAAGTGAATGGTGGACATTTCGAACATTCGATTTGATTTTTATGTATTCACGTGGAATAAACATTGTTCTTTATGTTGAATAAATATTTCTAAAATTTTGCAGAATTTTGAAAGACAACCGAGCAAAGGTAATAATTGACTACCATGTTATTCTCTTCAAAATGGCTTCCTATTGATATCTTCATAGATAGAGAACTCTTCTAATACGCCAATAGAGATTTGAAAATCACATGCGAGCACTTCAATAGCCATCTAGTCGAATGAATTCTGGTGTGAGATTTCAAACGTTATCATCCGCCATTTTGTTTTTGATGAATATTTTCGTATGAGATTCTGAGGTTGTATAGAGAATCAAAAGACCTTTCTATCGAGGTATCATTCGACCCCCCACTCCATCTAAAAAAATCTTCCAAAATGGCGCCCAGGCG